ATAGGGCCAGCGGAAGCTAGCCAGTACTATTAAGAGATTCCATCTAAGCGACCTTTCGTATAGATGATGTTAAAAGACTAATTAAGTTATCCTATAGACCTGCGTCTTTGGTAGTATGTATTTTTCACTTTAGCATCATGGATTTTAACCGGTCTAAGAGGATTATAAAGCTCTGTAATTTTAGGCTTACAAGGTTGGAGCATGTTAAGAAGATAGCAAAGTTAATTATTCCACCCTAAAGATGTATAGATTAGGCCTGTGGGGAGTTGTATGTCAGATAGAGTTGAAAGTATCGATGATTTGTCTCGCCAGTCTGTGCGTCTCGTATCCCCGTGCAGGACGTTATGTAATTAACGCTAGAATATGTAAATTACGTTATCGATACGTGCTTAGCTCAACCCTTATTCGTGAGTTGATAAACGCTAAAAGTTCATCTTGCCCTACCTCTAACCTCCGTGCCCATGCAATCACACTTTTCTATGGGCTTTTCATCTTCAAGTCTATAGCGAAGATACAGCTCACTATGGCTTATTTTCTTGTATCCTCATATCTTAAATGAACGCCTTCGATTGCCATAATCCATGAGGAACGTTTAAAGCGGAAACGGATTGTGCTAATGAAACGATTAGCAGGCACACCACCCCGCGATCAAACTTGTCATTAATTAGCGTGTGGGGCAGAAGGATGACTACGGAATATAGATTAGGCAGCAGAAATTTTATATTTTTGCGAAAGAGAGATCGTAGATGCTTCGGAGTTATCGCGGCTCGTCATACCAGTTGGCTCGTTACACCGGGATGGATGTGAGCACGCATATCCCGCCAGATTTTATCGTAAGGCTGCCTACGACAACGGACGCACTCTGGCAAGACATCACTGCCACTATGGGACTGGGAAAGAAGTTGTGGAAGAGGGTGTGGACGAGGAATTGTAAAGTGGAGCGCCGGCGGTAGATTTCTTGACCTAGAGAACCTTTGGTGTTCTTTTTCGAGATGAATCCAGCAAGATCGAGGACATATGTACCTGGGCAAGCAAATTCAAGTCTTGCAGGTTTAACGATGCGATGAACTATGAATACAAATGAACACTTAGTTAGAACATGTTGCAGTGAGTCTAACAGTGGGGCACAGCACAGTGGGTAGCCACACCTGAAACTTCTGAAACCTATCGAACTGCAAAAAATGGTCGCATAATAACCCTATGGGACCGCTGAATCTACTGGAACTGACATAGATCAGAAGCTTGCTAGATTATATGCACCTCGAGAACAGCTGTTGCAGGCTATGCACTGCCAAACACACCTTCGATACTGGTGATTTGGTACTGGTAAGTACGGAAGGCATCAGAAACGTCAGCTTTGACCGTAGTTTCCACCGGCGACTGCATTGTGCGTCTGCATCGTGTGCTCAGAAAGAGTTTATACTTTGGAATGCACAACGTGGGTAATCTCGATCTACATCAGTATATATTCTCCTTGATTTTGTTACATTTGATTCTTCCAAAATAAACTTCAAATCTTAAAGCGATAACAACCTAGGAAGACTCGTCGCACACCTACTATACACTCACGAAAACTCATATCTTCGGAACCTACCAAGATGTTTTCAATCATCGATTTCAGCAACGAGTCCGGAACGATCTCGCAGGTCGAGATTAACCCAGCTGACGCGATGGATCAGAACATCCCAATTGAGCGGCTGGCTGCTCGATACAATGTACAGCAATTCGCTGACAGCCGCCCGCCCACTGGGAGCGGTGCTCCAACACGTACCCGTGCCCACACATACGGCCATAGCTACTCACCATACGCATTGTCAGACCTGGCGGGTATGCATCATCGTACCAGCTCATTGTCAAGTGGCTACGTGCCTGCGCAGCCACATACACCATACGGTCCTCCGGCTTCACTCTCAGCCCATGGATACTGGCAATGGGTACCTTCACCCATTCCCACTGAACTGGCTGACTATGAGCAGGATAGCTTTCTCGAGGATTTGCTTGCTCCAGTAGCGCGTTCGCGAGCGACGTCGATAGCACATTCGGAAGCGACATCGATGGCTCCGAGCTATGTCGGTGCCCCTAGCTCAGCAAACAGTGTGGTATACAGCTCTCGCGGGTCTGTGAGCGAGATGCCGCCTCCCGCGCGGCTTCGTGCGCCAAGGGTGTCGAGGAAGAAGCCAAGCTTGCCCAAGCAAGATGCTCCAGAGGCAGCGGCGAACCAGGCAGCTGCCAGGAAGGAGTCAGCTGAGACGAAAGCCATGCACAAGGAAGTCGCCGAAAAGGTGTCGGCCATCCCTTCACAGAACCACGACGCCGTTCCGGTACGCCCTTGCGCTTTGACCCCCCGCAATCTCACGGACGTCGAGGAAAAGACGAACCGCGAGAATGCGTATATGTTCATAGCAAACTGGGAGCGTAAGAGTAGACCCAGTTTCAAGAGACACGATATGAACAATTATCAGGTCAACGATGGTCCGCTAGAGTTCAACCCTATACAGAGCGGGCACAAGCTGATAGACCTCGAGCTTCCGGTGACGATGCTGATTGACTGCATTTTTGATTCTCGGAATTTTGAGACGGAAGACGTATTCAATAGCCAGGTTCATGCGGACCCGCTGGTAGAGCTCTTCCTCGACATTGCCCGTGCGGAGATTCTGAAGGAGGTTCGAGACCAATGGCGCGAGCTTCGGGCAAATGATGACAAGGCGCTGAGGTACCAGCTTGATCTGCTCTCGAAATTGTACCGCATGGGGAGCATCACTCCGTGGAAGCCGATTGCCACTTATCTAGAGAAGTGGGCCTACTGGCGGGAGAACTGGTGCGGAGAAAACAGCCAGGAGAGGAGCAAGACCCAGAGGCCTGCCATTCATCCAGACGACAGATTCTTCCGCTTGAACGGTTCCAAGGGCCTGCAGGATAGTGCGGAGGCCAAGCTGAAGGAATTGCTGATGGGCAAGGGGATGGCGGCTTCTGCGGAGCTATACTTCATGCAGCGGCTGAAGGACGTATCCAAAGATGTCCGGGCTGTAATTGTGGAGCGCGACTCTGTCCTGCTACTTGACACCGAAGGCTTGGAGACTTTGCTAAGGCTAGACAAAGAGCAGTATGAAGCTTAGAAGCTCCGTAGTGTGCCAGATGCAAGCAAAGGTCTGTCTGACAACGGATGGAAGCGCGAGGTTGCGCCGGGATTTGTAGATCAATCAATCAATCAATCAAATTTTGTTTTGTAAGCAAGTTAACATTGCACCATGACCGTGAACTCACAAAAAATAGCGTGCAGAGGTCCCTCTCCAGGTGAGTGAGGTGACGGAGTCTTTAAGGCGCCCTTTACTCGGCCTGCGTAGGATCTGTAGGGGCGCGAGCGTTCAGGACCACCGGGTCGAAGTCCCGCATATCAGTCTAGAGATCCACTTCACCACACTTTAGCGATTCAATGGCTATGCGATATCTTGATGATATTTGACAGTCTATTGATGGAAGACGAAGCGGCTCATTCCTGCCACACAGTAAGCAGCGGTGGCCACCCACAATCGAGGGAGGAGCCGAGCACAAACTTTCGCCTCGCCTCCACGTACGTCTGAGAGACTTGAGCCACATCTCAAGCTCCTCTGCCGATCTTCAGGCCTCGCATCTTGTCACATGGAAGGAGGTATTGCCGTCGAAACGAGGTGGAGCTGTGTATCTGAGCAGTCCACCACAAGCAGGTATTAGCAGAAGCGTGTCTAGCGACCCAGACTTCGCCCTCGCGCGGCGGATCCATGCACAAAAGCAGAAGAATCCCTCTTGGTGTTGCGAACAACGCTCGTTCAATTCTGCTTAGAGATACTCTACAGCTGCGCCTCCTCCCCATCCCAGTAATAACTCCACATCTGCAACCCCACCATCTCATCCCCATACGCCTTTGACTTTTCTCCCGCGCCCGCGCCCGCACAAACCACCAGCGGCAAAAAATGCTCCGCGCCGCCGCGAGGATGCATATCATATGCTCCCGGCCAACTTCTCCACCCTGCAAACTTCTCCTTCTGAGCTTCCACATCCGTAGTCTCCACAGCATCTGCCACAGTCTTGCTCCAAGCCTCGTTGAGCGCTTTATACGAGGGTGTGCGTGCCTGTCCTGAGAACATGGCGCGGAGATTGTGCATGCTTGCGAAGCCGGAACCGATGATTGCGATGTTCTTGTCGCGGAGCGGGGCCAGCGCGCGCCCGATAGCGTAGTGCATGGAGGGGTCTTCGGAGGCAAGGACTGAGAGTTGGATTATGGGGACGGAGGCGGAGGGGTGAATGAGTGTCATGGGGACGAAGACGCCGTGGTCCCAGCCTGTTTCCCGTGTGCATTAGCACCTCTCTTTGCTGCTACTACGCCGTCCCAAGATAGGGTGTAACATACCTCTCTTCCCATCATTCTTCGACTTGATGCCCGCTTCCTCCAATTGCCTGCGGACGAGCTCCGCGACCTCGGGACTCCCAGGCGCATCGTATTTCAACTTGTACGCCTCGTCTGGAAATCCATAGTAGTCATAGTACAGCTCGTGTTTCTCTGCGCTGCTAATCCCGACAACGTCCTCGCTCCAGTGAGCGGTAACCAGGATAATTGCGCGCGGCGCATCGGCAGTCCCCAGCTTCAGTATCTTGGGTACTTTCGTCTTCATGCTGTGCGTGAGGGCGGCTTGGCTGGGGTCGCCGAGCAGCGGCATCGGGCCGCCGCCGTGCGAGATTGAGATTACAGGGGCGCGGCGCGTCATGTTTCCTGCTATCTTTTCTGTGTTGGAGTACAATGAGAGCGGGAACTGCTGGACACCGCGAAGCGGGTTGAGCGAGAAGTTCAAGGCGTATGCTGCGGAGGATAGGTTTGCGAATGTAAGCAGAGAGCGCGGTTTCATGATCCGTCGAACGGTACGGTGGGAGAGTTCGTGGCCATTTTGTCTACGAGGTGGGTTTGCAAGCACGGTGGCTGTTCTCGGAGGTCGGACGACGAGGGGCGGCGTTGCGTAAGAGCGGAATTATGCCGTTCGGAACGGCAGATGGGATTTCTGGTCACGGGATCGGGCGCAACGCTCGCGTAAGCGAGGCGCGTTGTCTGACAAACACTTAGGATTACAAACTGATGTTCAGGAGGTATTGATTGTGTTGTTTCCCAGATGCAATGGGCTTGGACATGTCGCGCGATTTTCAGAGAACAGCTGCATGTTGTGTGAGACTCATTTTGCATCACGGACGACGGCTCACGCCGCGTCTCTGGGAGCTGTCACGCAACATTCACAGGAAGTGCACATCGTAAGAAATGTATAGCATGAATTCAGTGGACAATCACTCGTAGCGCGTCTTAGTTTCACTTCCGAGAAGCAAACAACGCCAACCATGAATGCCAACCACAGTACCGTGGTACCATACCAACCATAGCGTGACCACCCACGTGTTTCCATACGTCACACCATCCGAGCTGACCAATCAACATCCGGCGAGGTAGAGGGTCAGCGACGAATGCGATTGAAGAATAAACCACCATGAGAAATCGGTCGACGCCTGCATGCGAGACGACGGATAGCACAGTCAGTAGAAGAGAAGACATTGAGAAGAAGACATCTAGACCTCCTCCTGAGCAGCAGCAGCAGCCGTCTCCTCAGCGATCTCCTCCATGATCTCGTCATCTGCCTCACGTTAGAAAAGCTCATCCCCCAAACTCACGAAGCGAACAACACACCAGCAACGTCCTCCTCACTCTTAACCTTCTTGCGTCCCCTCTTCACTGCGGGCTTCTTCTCCTCGGTCTCTGCGTCCACGCTATCAGCTTTCTTCTTGCGGCCCTTGGGACCCGGCTTCTTCTTCCCCGCATCCTCAACCCCAGCCTCGTCCTCCTGCTCAGGCTCGGCAGACGTTGCCTTACGCTTCTTGCCATTGTTGGCCTTGGGCTTGGGAGCTGGCTTCGCGGCCGCAGCCTCGCCGGCCGCACCACCCAGGAACGTGCCGAAGGAGGCGTGCGCCTCGATGACCTTGCGCTTGACGGGTGGCCACATCTTCTTGAGGGAGCCGGCGGTGTTGCCCGTGAGGGTAGCGAGCAGCTCGTAGTCGTACTGTATGGTACAGTCAGTGAGGACTTATGTAGAACAAGACGATAAACGCACCTTGTCGGGGCCGGTAGAGGCGACGAAGGCAGCGGCGATCATCTTCGTCTCCTTGGACGTGAAGCCGGTGATGGCATCGCCGACGGTGGCAGCGGAATCGTCCTTCTTGGGAGGCATGCTGGCGTAGAGTGGAGTTCTCTTGAGGAATTGAGATGTCGAAGTAGATCAAGGAATTGCCTAGCGACTGCACAAAGAATTTGCTAGGTGGGAAACGATAGCAAACGAGGGACGGAAGACGACGAAGACCGGCGGAAGATTTGTTTATATGCCAGGAGCCAGCATCATCGAAGTGAAGGCATATTGTCGTGAGCGACGCATTTCCCTGTGAACCAAACTCGAAAGCTTTCTAGAGAAGGCGCAGGCCAGCGAAATTACCTTCGCGGATCCGAAGTGAACGAAAACTCCACGCGGGTTCCGTCGGTCTGTGCCGGATGTAACAAGTGGTGAGTCACGCAGGAAATCGAAGTTCTCATAATTCCGTCAAGGCTCGAGCTGGGAATTGGGTACTTCTCGAATTGAAGCGGTCCTGCAGATACGCAGGTATTACAAGAGTGCAAGCTGATGCGCGCACTGTCGACAATGCAGACAGGTGGAAATGAGAGCGTTTTCACACCGACATCATTTCCCATGCCTGAGACAGACCCCTCAACGATGGACTGCCATCATGGTAATCGAAGCATTACGATGTCATGAGCGAGAAGAAAAACCATTCGATTCGTGTTTCCGTAATAGGACTAAACTGCCGTCGCTATGCATAACCCAGGGCGTGTGCTAACAAAGCCCTACGAAGGTAGCAAGTGCCTTCGTCACCCATTGAGGTAACCCGATGCTCGAAGATGTCCCACCAACCGATGCCATGACGTCCGTCAACTCCGTCGATGCGTAAAAGGAAATTCTGATCATGAACTGGCCGTAGCAGTTAGGGCGCGTCGAGGTAAGAAGGTCGCCCATAGTTCTGACACTTCGTGTGGACCATTCCCAACGCTGTCACTGGCTGAGCGACGCAGGAACTTCGTGTAATCGCATCCGTCGAAGCTGAGTGGCCATTTAGCACTTCAACGCCTGCAAGAAGGCCAAGCGAAGGGAGAAGGGCAGGGCAAGAACATGTAGGCAAATCCTTTACCCTTTGAAAACGCCCACTCTCTCCTCATACGCCCGCCATCCCTCGGCCCGATATCGTGCTGCCTCAGAAGCTCGATCGGATGCTCGTACGATGCCACGACCCACAATGATGACGTCACATCCTTGCTCGAAGATGAGTTTCCGCGGAGTGTTGTACTGCTGGCCCAGAGAGTCTCCCAGTTTCTGGCCTTCCTGGCCTGGGGGCGGCAGCTGGCAACCTGGCGTCATGGTGATGAAGTTGTCTTCTGGGTCCGAGTTCAAGCTTCGCTGCGCAATGAAACCCATGACAAAGTCCCGGTTGGCTCGCGCAATTTCCAGCGTCTTTTGTTGGTACTCGGGTGTCATCAGATGGCCTTCGGAGCTCATTTCAGCAAGCAGGAGGAGCGAGCGGACAAAGGGCGCTTCGCCCAGGCGGGCCAGCATGGCGACGCTATCGATATTGAAGATCTCATCAGGATGAAAGGTCGGGTCTGGGCGAGGGGATATGCTCTCTGTCCGCTGGGAGATGGAGGTGCCAATGCTGACAACGCTCTGTTTCCTATCCAGAGGCTTGATGCCTAGGCGCTTATCCTCATCGTCGCCGTTTATTGGGGGAGTAACGACGGCGATGCTGTTCGTTCTTGTAATCTCCTCAAGTTCGTCATCGTCGTCTTCCTCACCGGGCTTTCGTCGCGGTGCGTCCGAGTAGATGTCGGTGTGCACGCCAGTGTTGTACTTGGCGATGGTAGCGTCGGCGGCTTTATGGAGGGCGGTGACAATGGCGGGACCGGGGAGAACGTGTGCGTTTGTGATCTCAGCCCAGCTAGCGATCTTGTAGACGCCAGACGTATACTGCTTCTGTACCGTCTCTGCGGGGTGTGAATCAGCATGGGTCCCACATATATTGGCGGAGGCGGCCTAACATACCGCCGATGTCTGCGAATTTGCGGTCCTCGAAGATGACGAAGCACTTGCGCCTTGCAATCTCCTTGAGTGCCCTGGCGGTGCGGTCGCTCCAGTCGGTGACGATGTCGCAGTGGGTCTTGAGGACGCAGATGTGGTCTCCGCACTCCTCAGCCAGATCCAGCAGCTCGGCCGAGGTCTCGACGTCGGCAGAGAGGCAGAGGTTGGTCTGCTTTATCGACATCAGCCGCAAGAGGAAGGATGCGAGAGGGCCGCTCGACGCATGGCCGGCGCGCTCGCGGTATGTGGTGGTGGCCATCGCGTTGGCCATTGTGAGGGAGAGGTGCGGGTGAGCGCAGGCAAGGCTGCTAGGGGTGTTGTGTGTTGTCAGTCTTATAGGCGGACTTGTAGAGGCAGCGGCGTTGGAGGCTCGACCGTGTTTCGGGGTCGAAGTCGAAAGTGGGAGAGGGGCGGTGCGGCGCGGGGCAGCAGCGATTTTGTCCTCTGCAGTACGGTAGTCTAGTACGCTACGCGAGTCGGAGGGCAGCGTCAGGCCACTCTGGCGGACGGCGGATGCTGATGAGGGCCGTGAGTCCTTTTGGGGTCTGGGGCAGGCGAATCTCAAGGGCGGGCGGCGTGGGGAGTCTGGATCGCGTGTGGATATCCAAAATTGCTTGCTTGTTCTGGACGATGCGGCCCGCCGTGGTACCTCGCGCTAAGAGGCGATCACAGCAAGCGAGCCTCGAGTCCAAGGGCCCGTCGTCCCGGCATGCACTGCGCGCTGTCGCTGTCGCTGTTGCTGTCGGCCGTGCACAGCGCGTCTGCTCTACAAACTCGTACAAAGTGTCCGTCGCTTGCATCTCAAGTGCTCCAGCGACGCAGGTCCCGGAGGACAGCGGAAGGAGGACGGCTGTGCCACAGGCGACGCCGAGACGACTCCCTGTGCATCGATAAATGCCCGGCCGGCGGCGCATCTGCAGCCTGTCAGTCGGTGAGGGTGTGGGGTGTGGGTGCCGCTTGCTGGCCCATATCATCCGACCTCCTCGACCTCTCGTCTTGCACCGGACGCATGCCCGACCAGTGCAATCCTCCGAACACTTCACTCCACTCAATCCATCCTGCATATGCCCACCCGCAGCCTTTGTCGGACGCGTCACGTCCGCCCTTGGTACGTGGCACAGCATTCATGAACGATGTGTCTGCTGCTACCTCACAACTTCACTCCCCACCAATGCCTTTCTTTGGTGCACTTGCTGCCGTTGGGGCAAGCTGAAAGCCACAGGCACGGCACGAGCGACATCGTACCACTTGCGGGCCGAATACGACCTCGGCCTCAATGGACCTCCGCATTACATATGTATCTCCAGCATCAGAGCATTTGCGCATAGATTTCCGGCACAATTACGTGCAAGCTCGGCTACAGATGCAGGGCAGGTGCACCTCCTGGTTGGCGGCTTGTTCCTTCTTCATGTGGGCAACTAGTCTGGTCGGCAACAACGGGAATTAGCATTCGCGCAAGGGTGCTTCCACTCCCCAGGGCTTGTTGTTGAGCAAATGACCTGGCCGAGTAACAATGACGCACTGGGGATTTTTTCGAGGTTGCTGTTCACTTTCAGTCTCACCTGCCTTGTCAAACGACCTGAATATGCTACGAAACCACTCAACACTATTACCCTCGCGAAAATCCGGTAGCTTCCTCAGGACACTGACTGCCGACCGAGAAAGCCCCCATCATGATCAACTCCTTGGGTGAAGCAGGACTGACAGTGCGCTGCGTATTGCTAAGGAGTTCCAGATGTGACAAGAAACAGTTGTCCGCCCACCTCGGCCCATGTCACCTCTTCGTCTTGACTGTCTGGAGACGGGCCACTATCACCAACTTCCGGAACATGCCCCGGAGACAGGGCACTATCACCAGCTTCTGGACCATGCCCCCGACGATCCTCGCTGCCGTGGCCCTCACTGTCATGGTTTCCGCTGTCATTGCCCTCGATGCCATAGATATCGCTGTCGTAGCCTTCGCTGTTGTGGCCCTCGCTTTCGTGGCTCTCGCTGTTGTGGTTCTCGCTGTCGTGACCCTCTACTTCTGGTCTCGTAGTCCTGGCCACACCATCGTCGCCTTGGATGGTTGTGTTATCCTCTGCCACCCCCTGAGGTCCCCCTAGAAAGAACTCTGGTCGTGCTCCAGATACTTCTCCACAACCTCAGACTCTTTGTCATATCGTTTCTTCCATACTCTCTGCACAGTCGCTCGCATCGCGCCCACCTTTTTCTCCACTATGCTCATCACCAATTTCCTCTGTGTCATCGTCCTTTCCTGCAGCCTCATCTCCTTTCTAAACGCCCTCGCGTCGTGTAACACGTCGAAAACCGGCTGTTTACCTCCATAGTATTGTACACCACATGCCTTTAGGATGCCTCCCTTTCCGTGAAGAGGAGGCCGTTCATCAAGATCCCCCTTGTAGGTGAGCGACGACGGCCACTGGTTGAGCCACCGTGTGAGCGGTTTGAAAGGCTTGATTATCTCCCCTCCCAAACGCGGGGAGTAGGCCATGCAGAGCATGTCCATTCCGTGGATGAGGCATGGCTTGTTCTGGATTCCCATTGCGATCCAGCGCCTGCACATATTCTGGAGATATGTGTCTCGTACGAGATTTATCCAGGCTTCGACGAGGGGGTTCGGATCGGGAGGGAGGGCACCGCATGTGAGGATGGCCTGCTCGAGGAGATGTTGGTGGGTGAACAAGGATTCGACGTCTGCTGCGGTGGAGGAGGCCGAGTTGGAGAAGGTGGAGGTGGAGGAAGCGGGGCCTGGACGGTGTCAGTGAGCTGCCAGCTGTGCTGTGCACCGTGAAGTGGATGACTTGCGAATGGACCCGGGAATATGCAGGACTGCTAGTTCAAAATAGTGTCAAATGGTCAATTGCGGAAGAATGTGGGCTGTCGAATAATACTTGTGGGATGGAGACGAGGAGATCCGCTACGCTTGTTTATAAGGACACAAGCGCTCTCGCCTTTTTCTGGCTTCTACCTGCTGGTTCTACTTTCGCTCTTACTTCCATCTTCGCTCTCAATTCTTCCTTCTCCTTGGCCTTCACCTTCACATCCATCTTGTCCACCGTGTTCTGCTTCCATCCAAATCCATCCAAATCCATACAAACCCCTTCGGCTCTCTGTCCCTCTTTACCACCTCATCTCGTTCTCTCACACGCACCCTCCCTTCATCTCGCTTTCAATATCGCCAAACTATACACCAGGCAATGCATCCTTCCCAGAGCCAAACTGTGATGGCCTGCAGATCGATGCAGCAGCTCATTTGCACTTTGCGGCTCCATCCTCTCGAGCGCTCAAAGATGATGTTGGACGGGTGGATGTGCCCGGTTCCTATCTTGTCTGAGGGTGTCTGCCGTGGCTGCCTTTCATCTGGTCGATACTGGCCGCTTGCTCTCCCGTCTGAACTCTCGTCGACGCCGGTAGTGCTGCGCGGACAATGAATTGCTAAAGGTTGTAAAGCGGAGCTGGATTGATGTGCACGACTTCGATACCGATTTTTGTTATCAGTTCTTCTTACTCAAATGATTGATGCTAAATGTCCAATTGAACCCGCGAAACTGGTTCCGCACGGCTTCATACATGCAAGCATGCATCCGCGCTGCTCGCACGCTCGTACCCCCACGAAACCCGCGCGGGTGAATTAAGACGGCTCCTCAGGAATACGATTACTTTACTTGCGTGGCTATGGAACTAGTGTCCTGGAAGACGCAATGAATTTGCCCTCCCGCTTCTGAAGTAATGGCTGCGTTCAAGGCTGCCATCCAGCGTGACAAGTACTGCGGCTCATCTTTTGCTTTGCCCGGTGCAGCGCTCGCATCCTCGAGTCTCTCCTGCAATTCCTGCAGAATTTGACAACCTCTTATCGGACCGTTCACTTGCAGGTTGCAGGCCGCTTATGTTCGCGACACTTGTTGCAACTCCTGGTGCCTGTTCTGTGCGCACTTCGAGGCGATGTCGCGCCAGCACCTGCCATCTTCAGCCATCGTCTTATCGATTATTGTTTTATCAGGGCTACGATTGAGCAACCACAACCACATGTCCCTGATGCCTGATGAATTAGCAGCGTAGCTTTGTGGGCCGAAGCGGCTCGCCCATGCCGTGTGACGTTTTTTGCTTCCTACCCCTGATCGTTCCAATGGCAACCTTGAACGATCTGGTACCGACGTACGACATGCATGTACTCACAAGTCTCAATCTGCTCAAACGAGCAATTTGCTTGCCAGGTGCGCAGCCATCTTTCATCATTGCATGAGCTTCCAGCCAAAAAGGAATCGTGCACCGCCATCCCAGTCCAATGGAAAAAGTACATTTTCCGATCTCAGACTGATCTACTGCACTTTCAAACTCTTTCGCTCCGCATGCCTGTGCTACAGATCCTTGTCGAGCGGCTGCATACTCTCATTCAGCTGATATCTGGAAAAGAAGCAACGGTGAAAGCATCGAAGAAGCCAGAAAAAGAGCCCGACAGGATGGTATGAGAAAGCTTCCCAAATACCTTAAGGGAACTACTGATGTGCCACTGGAGTTTAAAAGCAGTTTCGACGAAATTTCGAAAGAAATGGCCAGTACCAAGTTCTTGGATTATCGAGGATCCTTGGACGCGCCTTGGAATTTGGACAACAAGGCCAAAGCTTGTGGGCTCACACGAAGGGCGGAGAAATGCCGACACGAGCTTCAGAATAAATGAGGATGGCGAGACGCGATCGAATCGAAGCTGTTCGAACGCTTCCACGTCAGGGTCGCCTGGTAAGTCTTGTACACAAACCCTAGCGATTCGATATATTGACATTCGTAGCAGCAAATATTGTCGGAAGCGACTATGGAGGTCCAAAATCGAGGTTGATCCCGACGGTAGTAAAGGTTGCTCTAAGTTGTTGGAAAGAGAAGAGAGAAGGCAGGCTTGCAGCTGTGACCGATTGCAGCGAGAAGATGAATAATATACTCTCCAGTCCAGCCTTGAGAGTGGACTATGACTGCTGATACGAAATTCGGCTCATCAGTGGACCGGGTATATGCAATCTATTCGCATTCCGTGTGGATAGTGAGGCGCTTCTGCCCAACAGCAACAAGATACAGGAACCCAATAGAATCATCGGTCTGGGCAGAACAGAGAACATCGATCGTTATCTCCGATCCAGATATGCGCACATAGATGCTGCTTCGGATGCTTTATTAGAAGATGAGATTGCCGTATCACAACAGCGTGATGATGGCAGCCCCCAATTACTGTTTCGGTTCCTTGTTCTCGAGGCCAATAGCGAGAAAGGTCCTGCGAGCTTCGAGAAGATGGGGCTGGAAACTGGCGGTCCTGTCAAAAGCGCGACTACATCACCTCAACGCTTATCGCCAATTTTCACCGAAGAGAACTCTACACTACTTTATGATGAGGCACAGCTCCAGGCTTCGGAAAGACAAAATAATGACAATCGAACCACAATGACTTTTTACACCCTTTCATCGATCTCACAGACGGCGAGCCTCTGATGGTCGGGACCAATTTTCAGAATGAAGTCTACGTTCGGATCAAGGCGCTTGCACCACCAGCACCCGATGGAGCGGGAGATCTGGCGCCGCTACTGTCATCGCGGTACTTTTCCACAGGCGCAGCTGCAGCGCTGAAGACGCATCACGAGTAAACCTGCAGGAGGGAACTTGGTCGACTAGGTGGGGTGCCTCAGGGATATGAAACTATCTCGGAGGCGGCGCAGGATGAACCGGAGGATCCGCAACCGGCGCTGGAGCGGTCCGACTCAGTAATATATCTGGGGACTGCAGAGTCGGATGTGGTTTGTCTAAGAACCGAGGCGCCCGAGGCACTTTTAGCTGCACTGGCGTGAACAGTTCCCTTGTGGTACTATTCTACAATAGAAGTTTTCAAGTTTATACGCTGTTCTTTTACATCATATACACAAGCTCTAGGTACCCTCGCCGCTTCCTGACTCTTGCACTGCTACTCCTAACGCTCTCATAGCTTCGCCCTCGCCCCTGCAGCACTCTCCTCTCGCCCTTCCAGATTGGGATGAGCCGCCTTCACCGGCCGGGTTACGACATAAAACGCAAACCCTGCCGACTTGGTAGAAAACTGTCACACATCAGTGCCATGGCTTCATTTTCCATCTTCTTCCATTCTAAAAGAAGCGGTAAGGAAGACATACCTGTACCTGCGACCCCACGGGGAAGAAGGCATAGTCGCCTGGAACGAGGTGATGCGTGATGCCCGTCGCTTCATCCAGGATATCGATCTGGCCCTGCAGCACGTACTTTGCCTCCTCGAAGGTGTACGATGCCGAGCGCGCAGGACCGGCAACGATCTTGTAGAAGCCGGATGTTATGGGTGTCGGGTTTGAGGAGGGGGTTTGTGTGAGGGTCGTGTGGAAATCTGCTACTGTTGCGTTTTCACCCGTCGGGAGGGGGATGTGCTCGAAGCCGGCGCCCTTAATGATTGTCAGGGGGATAAGGCCGGACATGGTTGTTGTTGGGTGGAGCAGGAGGCGGTTGGATTGGTTAGTTTGAGGACTGGTCTGGGTCTTTTAACCTTGGTGCAAGAGAAAGGAGGTCGATGTAGCTTCCATGAGTTCAACGGCCCAGAATGTACTTATAGGGATTACTCAGAAGTACTGCGGGGTTAGTTGGGACGGTGAGGACGATATGCTGCACTGTGTCGTGATTGGGAAAGCTGCCGGTGAGGGTCTCGGGTGCGGGTTCGATTGCGTTTTACGGGACTAGTACCTCAACACACACTTTTGGAAGTGTGGAAGGAACTTGGACTTTCATGAGACGGCTCGTTACGATGATTGAAGATTTTGATATTGACTGCGCTTGACGAGGTCATATATATCGTCGAAGCGCTTGATCATTTGATCGTGCGCAGTGACATGGCACCAGATTTGCTTATGAGGGTTTCCGCACCATTATGTATGAATCGTTGCCGTTTCCTACGGGAGAAGAGACGTGACAAACAATTGTGTCTCATTCTTGGTTCTTAGCGCTTTCTTGAAGTAGGTGCAAGTGCAAGCGCTAACGACTATGGCGGGGAAGCTTTCCTTACCTAGGGTATATATACCGGCCTTACCTTCCGTTGCTCGCGCTAACATGCCTCTCTACGCTGCCTCTCCAGCGGACTTTGAAGATTCTGCTAACTATATCGATTATAATTATGATTATCAGCTACCCGTGTTTCGCAATCTAAGATCAGTCGCGCTCAAAAAATGACTTAGTTGTCCCCGAATCATTTCTCGAGTGGCCCCCTTCACTCTTCCCTCTCAGCTTCGAGACCAGCCCGATGCCTTGGGGTCCTGGCGACGGCGGTGCCTCGTTCGGTGGCTGGGGTAGCTCTTTCTCAACTACCGCTACACCTCCGTCCTGCCCGCAGTACTGCTCCACCAGCTTGACTATATTCCGCAGCACAGGCGCCGAGAAGAACGACTGCCCGTGGTCGTACCCTGCCAACCAATACAACTCCAGCCCCTCCCCGCCCCAGAAATTTGTCTCCCATGACTTCCGGTCTGTCCACGACCACTGCAGGTCTGGCTTCGATACCACGGATGCAGGGTCAGGCTGCGGTGGGCCTTTTGTAACATATGCCGCGATGGCTTCTGCGTTTATGAGACAATCGTCGCTCCCTACTACGACAGTCGTAGGACACCTAAGTAGTTCCTCCTGCCAGAGGATGTGCTTGCGCCAGCAAAACCGTTTCGCGATCGTGAACGCGATATCCGGCTCCGCGGTCGCCGCCCACGCGATCTCGATTTCGTTGGCATCTTTGGGCTTCCTGCTCGTAGAATTGTAGGCTACATCAGGGATGTGGAGGAGGATGGCGACCGGGTCGATGAGCACCATGCGCTCCATGCGGGCGGCGAGAAAGGGTGTTTCCAGCATCACTTTCGCGAAAAACGTACCGTAGGAGTGGCCTATAAAGACGAACGAGTCAAGGTTCTGCTGCGCGATTATGTCGCCGATCTCGCGCACTTGGTCTGCGGGGAGGGGCAGCGCTTCTGTGATGCGCGAGGAGATGGGGAGGACTTCGATGGCGAGGATGCCAATGTCTTTTGGGAGCATGAGGAGGAGGGGGAGGTAGGCTGCGAGGCCGATGCCGAGGCCGTGAATGAGGACGATGGGCCGGTGCGTGGTGGACTTATGTGGACGGTAGAAGTAGCTGAAGTTGGGGGCTGCGGACTGTTTGGGTGCAAGGACGGTGAGAGGACGTAATGGGAACGTTTTGAGAAACTTATTCCGTGGTTGGCGGTAGAAGGTGAAGCCTGAGACAAGAAGTATCATTGATACCCAGAAGTCAATGGTACCTATGATCTGAGAGCAGGTCAGTCTTCAGATTGCGACATGGGATAGAAGAATTACCATGTAGTAAGTTAGACTTCGGTGCGAGACAGCAAACGTTCGGAAGTTCAGTCGCAGACAGGCTGCCGGTCCCCATCCGGGCCTAATATTCTTCCCTAACATCTCTTCAACTACTTCGACGTATTCTTCGAGCTCGTCGTCGTCATCTCCTGGTGGACCCTCCCTATCGAACAACGCCCACAGTAACCTATGTCCGGAATCAGCTCACCATTGATGGATTTTGATTACTTTACGGGAATTTGCTCACCACTCCTTCATATTCTCCCTCCTGAGATCTTCCAAGCTAGCCCCGCACATCCATTTCTTGATGCACAGCTCAATATCGGGTGTCACCGCCAAACATCTATTCCAAAGCTCCTGCCGCTGCCTCCTATTCAGCGGCGGCGGAAACGCCGCCTTCTGCTTCCACAGATACGAGCGATACGGTAGAAACCAACAGAAGTAGAACAGAATCTCGACGGCGCCGAGGACTTCGATCGCAATAGAAACGGGATGCGCAACCACCCTGACGCCGCCAATCGACAGCGCGAGGTAGAAGTACGCCAGGCAAAGAAGGCCCAAGTAGCTGTAAAAGTATACGAATGCTTTTATAAGCACATATTCGACGGTGGATTTGCCGAGAAGCATAGCTCCAACATTAACGTTATGTGAGGACCGGCCTGCAGGATAATCTCAACGCGTGCGAGCGGCCACGGACGTTATGAACCCGGCGCTCACATGAATATGTGGGTCGTTGTAAATCCGCGATAGGGCTGTCGGGCGCGTAACATGAGGTTTTGGACACTTTCGCGGACGTGTAACGCGTGTACTAGGCGAGTGGGATGGTGAGGTGGCTCATGTTTGAGCGATGTGACGAGCGTCGTGATTCGTCGGAGGGGTTTCTGATTCGCATGATTTGCATGCGGACCCCGGGCGGGTTTCAACGTGACTTCGACGTGACTAATGCGAAGTGAGAGAAGTGAGATCGGAGAATTTTTTGTGGTGTAGCTAGACCGTTGTGTGACGTGTCGCTATTCCGTTTGAAGCGATGGTTGCTGAGTCGGGAAATGCTGGAGATGGGATCCTAGCGTTTCAGTGCCCAGGCAGGCTTGAGGCTCGCAATGCGCCAAGGCAATGCCTGGCTCGGTATGGCAAATTCGGTGTGTCATTCATGCCCTTATGTACTTTTAGCATTCGGGTTCGCTCAAAGCACATTAGTCCGACGTTGGCAACGGTAGACGGGGCAGCTTCCGTGCCACTCCCACTCAACGGTGCACACATCTGTGAAAACACCTCGATCTTAAGGTTCAAGCCTTGTGTCAGGATTTGAGATCTATTTGGTCCGAATATACTCAATCTGTAGAGCCTTTTTATTGAACGTCTTAACAGACATGCATTGGAGCCTTGGAATGTGCTTTAAACCCGCCACCGTAGGCTGCTTATCAGCAGATATACCTAAGAGGTTTGAAGATCTACGTGGAATTGCGACATTGGTGGTCCGTGAGAATGATCCGTGTTCCAACTGACCCGCAAGGAGTGGCGCACGCTGCTATTCTATCCAATTCACGTCATGCAGGTACGATGGCGCGCTAAAACATGTTTCAATTCCTTGAATATAGCTATAGTTGCGTTACATGAGCTTAGTTCCGTGGCAAATACTCCAAGGCTTCGTTGTGTGAAACAGCCATACTCTAGGCACAGTCCAATCGTTGGACTCAACACCAATTTAACATCATGCACGGGGTCTTGTCAGCCCGGCTGCAGTCTATCTCTCTGGGCAAAGACCGAGCAATCAGTTACATCAAATAAAGTAGTCCATCTAGGATGGACATCTTATGCATGGAAGCAATGAAATGCATTGAGGTAGCAAGACTGAAGCGATGATCAGGAAAGTTAACAGTACAGAGACCGTACGGACATCTGTTCATTCAAAAAAACTTCTCGAACAAGGCCATGCTGAAATGTCAGTGACATCGCTGTACGATTGCGCCATATTACGCTACGTACGGTGGAGGCATAGCTGCACGCACAGAAGCTGCCCCCATCATGCCTTGCAACTATCATTCTACGACCCAAGGAATGCGGCGCAGTCATTCTTCTTCACTGTCCACCTGGTGCTCTGATCGGTACAAGTGCACTTGTCTTGCAGTCTGTTCCAACGATTCCCATTCTGCACGGCGCGTAAACACTCTCGATTCAACACTCTGTTCATATTGCCATATCATCAAACACACAAACAGTATCAAGCATCTATTGTCACTAACTGCACTGATCGTGGCCCTCACCAACACAGCCTCCACCTTCGTCACCCAAAGCAAACGCGACTTCATCAATATCGGCAGCGTGGACTTCACCATATCTCCCCTTACAGGCCCCACCGTTTCAGCTGGCTACTACTCCAGCTACATGAGTCGCTACAGTGAAGCCGCCTGGGCCGCCGTAATGGATAAAGACACTGAATGGGGGAGCAGCATCATCGATGCCAGATTGGATATGCTGGACTTTCTAGCTACACAGACGGCGGTCTCCATTCGCACGGTGATCATGGGTGAGTTGGTTAAGACTGCTTATACAGAGATGCCTGAGTGGTGAGTACGACCCTACAATTTTGCAAAACGGTAGAGAATTGCGTAGAGTTACATCCACTGACACGTGTTTGTGCGATTTAGGTATACAAAATTGCGAGAGAATATACACCAAATCTTAGAAGAGGATCCCGAGATCTTCAAGCAAGCCTTGATGGATAAGCCTACAGCAGCACCGTCGGGCGGTGGCGCATACGCAAATGCTGTCAAGATTGGGAACCGGCCCGTTGCAGCTGATCTGGCAGGGATCGCACTCCTGTCAAATCGCAACGTCTGAAAGCATATAGACGTTGAGCTGAAGTTATCATCATATCTCTGATGTGAAACGGCGAAATGGCTAGATACCTTGACTGGACATGAACTGGAGAGTTGGGGGCGTTGTCATACGTGAAAAAGGAGAAGAATAACTTGAAAGGAGATAATAAGAGCCTCAAGATATATCGAAGAAGGATAAGAGATAGTTGTCTTCAGCTTTGGCCAGATCCTCTGAGTAAAACTAGTCTAGCTCGCAAGAAGAATGTGATAACGCCTACAACTCGAGCTTCCACCGTGACCTCAATGCACATGGTTCGCATGGCCTTGGATGGTTTTTCGCATCATGCCGTCTCTTGAACAACGCTGACATATGCTGCAAATATGTGTCAAGCTCTCTACGAGCAATTCGCCTCTCTGATCGCGGAAATGCCTACACAGAGGTTATGAGGAAACCGTCTGCTCAATGTCCTTAGCCTAAGACTCTACCGCTAGCATCGAGTGACATTCGATACCCCATACTCAGGATTTTTCTCCGGTGATGTGGAATCCCCGCTCCTGCTACCAAGCACCAAAGTTCATCCTCGCGCCGCTCCGCTACAGAGTCGTCTTCCCGTGGCTGTCTCGATCAACACTTACACGTTATAAGCTACCTTGAACAATATTTCTACAGATATGATGCGATGGCAAGTCAGCTACGACATTTTCCATACATGATTATTTCACGCTTAATGGAACGAGCTACCAAGGTTCCGTTGACCAATATGTGAAACACAAAATCCCGCCCTTGTGACCAAGCTTTGTCTTGCACAGATAAGCTCAATGTCACCATAAGAGTCTAATATACTCCGAAAAGACCTTGGCCGTCCAAACCATCTAAGCAACCGTCTGTTCTTTTCTATGTGAGACTACATAGGTTTCCCTAGACCAACTGGCCGCCGGCATTTCGTTACAAACCTTCTCCAAGTGCACACCACTTGAGATGCCATCAACGCCACATTGCCAAACTACGAGCTGCTCGTTACTGGATTTAACGCGGTGCGGCACAGTTACAACGAGATGAGGTCACATGTAATGAGCTTCGGATTCCGAGGATCCAGTCAAGACCAGGGCCATCATCGATTTGCCCACCATCTTCACGTATAGTTGCGGCGTGGCTGGAGAGCCAAGTCCCTTCCGCCCCCATTTCAACTGCGAGTGGCGTTGCACATGCAGTACTTGCGTGGTGGCTGCTTACATTTTCACAGACATTGACGTAAACGCTTCTTTGAAATTGTGCTTGGAGACGAATTTACTATTGATCGTCGATCATGGGAGGAATATTGATGAAAGACGGAGCACTTGATCGATGAGGTGTTGTACAAGTGGTCCGGATATCAATGTATGCTAGTTGACATTGACGAAGTGTCCACGTCATGTACCAGTGGGACAACCCCAAGGAGCATCACAGTTTGATCCAAGCCGACCATGAAAGCGCCTGGCCTACTAAGACTCGTTCATCTCGGATAAGACACAAACACCACGCTCCGCCGACCCAGTGCAAAATTTTCTCAATCACCTGCCTCAAGACACCCAGACAGCGCGGCTCAGCGGCTCAGCGGCTCGTACCGCAAATGTACCATGTGGTCCCATTCTCATCCGCACATGCGTTACTTTAGCCATTAGCAACACCAAGGCCATGCACGTACGGATTTCTTGGACCACTGACATCCACGCACGTACACATGCTATCTCCCCCTGACTCCCTGTCCGCACCAGCTATAATGATGCCTTTTCCCTACTATACGACGCTGTTCTCTGAGCCGCATATACCCGACCAAGCACCCTTTTTCCAGCCCCAGTGTTGTCTTGGCTGCCGCAGACTCAGGCTCATGTCAGCCCATCTTCTCGCTTCAACGAGCAAATTGCATGCATACATGTATACCCGCGAATGCCAAGTAATCATGGAGACTATGGTGAATAGTATCCCCATGTCACACTACTCAACACTCCACACTGGCGGTACACACGCCTTCACCGATCCCGAGCCCCCTGCGATGCTTGAGCACCGAGATACCAGCTCCATGTGGCACGGCATAGTATGTACATACTACGTGCATACTACGTGTAGTGCCTAGCGTCGGTTGTGCACACATCTGGGCGCTTAAAGTTTCAGCAGAGGAAAACTTCCCGGCGGTGTTTGGGGCGCTGTAACTTTCAGGCATGGAGGGCGAAGCGTCGGTGCCACGGCAAAGGAAGCCTCCACGACGGCCCATGGTGGTGATTCTTTAGCACTCCGCTCAATGGGAGCTTTCATCTGCTGTTCTAAGAGCTTGCGCCGCGTGTACCCGATTCCTTGACCCCTGCGATGCGATATACCTATATTCGCTTCTAGGAGCAAGTTGCATGTACCTGTAAGTGTATATGTCTCATCGCCAAGCAGTATTCTTACAGCAAAGGCAGACTGCGCGATGGCGCCTGCGAATGTGGGAGTTTCTTACTAACCACTCCACTCCGGCGGTTCATTTGCCAAGTACCTGTGCCACAGTAAAGCAATCTCACCAGAAGTAATCGGCTGAAGCTAATCTAAAAGGTACGAGTCTCCCCATCACTCCACTTCGGCGGAGTATCGGCCAAGCTTCTGTGCCACAGCAGTCTGACTTCACTACTGTGTACAGCCCATGGCATATTACTTAACCGTCCACGCTGTGGGTACGTCCTGCTGGGACTGTGGTATATGAGCAAGTACCACAGTGTCGCTTGGGTAAGACAACCCCGCTAGACCGGAACAAGGAGGTGCACATCTCCCATTCGAGACATCACGATCCTTACTCAGGTAGATAGTCGCTCAACCTCGGCCAGCACGTGTCTGCCTCACCTCTCCACAATGCACATCGTCATGATACCGACCGTCATGATCCGCAAGTGACCCACGTGCCCAACCACCGCATCGGTCACTCCCCCAAAACACCATCAACCCTCCGAGACGATCACATCCACCTCCTCTCCGTTGCCCCGATACTACTACAGATACGCGAAACACACACGACCAAGACACGGCGCACGCAAACCCGCAATCCAGGACCTCGTTCGCGGGACGCTGCCGTAGGGGGCAGGAGGATTGAGCGCGGCCGCTACGCGTGTGATGACCTGCCGTTGTGGGCGTGTCTACAGTGGTAAGCGAGGCGGCAGATGTATAGGCGTGCTATTATTACACCCGTGGTGGAATTCTTCCGGCCACAGACCAGACATGGCGAGGTTGGAGGGCGTTGTGACATGCATACCCGGTCGGTAGGTGGAGGATGAGGAACCAGACCAGCCACGCCCTCCTGTGTAAGCGCGGCGTCTGGGATGGGATTGGTATGGCAAGGTTGGAAAGCAGCAGGACATGCCTTATCGGGCGCGCACAGGGGCCCACATCTTAAGCTTTGCCTGTATTGCTTCACGGGGTGAATGGCGTGTACGCATCTCACCTGCCTCCGCTTGCGCCGGAGCCAAGCTGCTCGAGATGAAGACGCTATCGCGATGCTCGCTGGCGCTCAGGTACCATGCGCTCCGGTCAGCTTTCACGGTACACAGACACTGTAAATGAAACTCGCACCCGGCAACTCCGCCGAGCACGATAAGCGAGCACGACAAATGGGCGTCGCTGCGTGAGGATTATTCCCGCGCGCGCAGGCTCGCGCAGGTAGTCGCGTGTCGCAGGAACAGGCACCGCCGATCGGCGGCGCTCGCAGGCTCGACGGGGCACACTTGCGCACTCGGGCGCCGTTTGACAAAGTGCGCTGCTAGCCGGCGGGACAGCTGCAGGTGCCTGGCGCCATCACGGCGGAGGGTGCAGCGCGCCGCCGAGCCTGCATGGCAATAGCGCAGCAGCGGTGTTAGCACTGCGCATGCGGCACGGATAAAGGCATCGAAGAGGAAAGTCTGGGACGGCGCTGCTGTAGGGGGCTGACGGGGGCAGGGAATGCGTGAGCCAGTGTCTAGCGAGCCAGCGAGACGGAGTGCGCGTGAGGGCACGTGTCTACGGCGCGCGTGGGACCCGCTAGGCTCGAGATAGAAAGTCGTCCTCATCCAAGTCCGGGACGAGTCGATGCGGCATCGCGCGCCAAGGGGCTCGGGGTGTACGAGTGGCGGGCGCGAGGTGAGAACTATCGATGCCATGGGGATGCGCCCAAGATTGGAGTCGTGATACGTGTCTATATCCTTGTTCGGCGCTTGGCCAATTATCTATGTGGGCGTGTGGTATCGTACATGCTTCTAGACAGGTGTGCGAAAAGCACGGGTATCAAGAATGGAAAGTAGCCGGGGACAAACGAAAGTTCTAAATGCGACGAACCCATCATGCTGGATATACAACGGTATGAATGCATGCAGTGGAATCAATTCAAATAGGTGACGTAAAGAGAAGTTGCTGGTCGTGGTGTTGCTGCTGCTGCTGCTGCTGCTGCTGCTGCTGCTGTTGATGCTGGGTGCCCGCGCCCGGGGGGTACTGTTGCATGTGCATGCTCGCTTGATGGTGATGGTGGTGTGGGAACCCCCTATCCATTTGGACAGGGCTTTGGATCTGGAACTCGGGAGTCATATCGGCATGTATCATACGATGGTCTGGCTGTGAGGACACCGGGCGTGAGCTAGGTGTACCGTGCCTGCTTAAGCGACTTCCGATCCTTTGTAGCGGCTTGGAAATCATCTGCCCAAGCGAGGGCCGTTCGTAGTAATTACTCTCTTCGATCTGGGGAGGCGCATCGAAGTAGCTGGGATAGAACAAGTTTAGCGGGTTTGTTGATTTCGCTTCGTCCACATACGCATGCTCTTCCGCTTGTTCGGCTTCCATCATGGGAGGTGGTGCTTGCGGTTGCGTGTGCGGTTGCGTGTGCGGTTGCGAGTGCGGTTGCGAGTGCGGTTGCGAGTGCGGTTGCGAGTGCGGTTGCGAGTGCGATGGCTGCTGATGATGGTGACTGGGGGTTGGCATCTGCAAAGTTGGAATAGCTTGCTGCATAGGTTGCTGTGACATGTCGATATACGGTTCCGAGGTGTCAATATCCATGTAGCTTATGCGGCGCGAGCTTGTATCGGGTTCAGGACCGGGCCCATCGTCGAAAGGCGAAGTGCCACAGTCAAAGTTTGTGTCGTTGGGGGACGCGTTGCTAGCCCTGAGCAGCGCAGCATTAACAGCAGCAAGGCGACCTCGTGAGATGGTCGCATTCGGATTCCCTATGAGGATGTGCATACGTTGTTCGCGTGATAATCCATCGACATTTGGGACCGAGTCCCTGCTAGGGACTACGAAACCTGGTGGCGGTTGTTGTTGGCTTGGGTTCAACGAGATATCGGATCGTAAACTTAGCGCTGTAATGAGAACCTCTTCTCGACTGGGTCGCAGGTCACAGCACTGAAGCTTCTGTCGCAATATTCGTGTGTTGTCAGGACACCAGCTGATCTGGGATCGACTCTCTCGTAATCGCTCGTTTAGACATGCGATCATCTCCTTCCAAGTGTCGTGCAATGCCTCTTGGCGAATGAGATTACGGATGACATTCGAATATTTCCACTGGTCGAAGGTTGAACCGTTCTTCATATGTTTTGCAACATGATCGCAGCGCTCGTCCCATCCTATGCTAACCTCTTTACACTTGTCGAACCCGCAGCCAAAGACTCTCCTCGGTAGTAGCTGGATGCCAATGTCCGTCAAGGATGGTAGCGGCCTCCCAGAATGATACCGCTGGTGATGTTTTACGAAATCTTTTTGGCGGTCGAAGATTCGGTTGCAACCGTTCACAAGGCATGGCCAGTCCTCTCCTGTTTCGTGCATGCGCATTTCGTGCTTTTTCCAGTCTGACTTTGCCTTGAATGTCTTCAGTGTCTTCGCTTCGGCGCAGTATGTACAAAACATGAAGGAATCGCCGCCTCGATCCGTTGGGAACGACGCCATGCTCATATCCTCGTCCGTGGGAGTGTACGCATGCTCCTGCTTTGGGTCAATGGGGCTTTCCGTCTCCGATGATGGGGTGAGCATTGATGGCACTGGGCGGGTTGGGTCCAATGGCTGTCTGTGATCTAGAGAGGCAGGGAAAGAACGAGGCTCTGTCCGCCTTGGTGTCGCTCGGGAGCGCGAGGACATGGACGAGGTTGATGAGGCTATTGACGGGGCTATGCTAGACATTGTAGAAGAAAGTGTTGACGTCGAGAGGTTAGACTGCATAGATAAGCGCGAATGATACGATGTCGTTGTCGACGTGCGAAACGATGGCGCTGGGGAGCGAAACGACGAGCCCGTCGAGGCAGTCGTTGATATCGACGACGCTGTGTGAGAGGATGCGACGGAGCTGCGTCCTGGAGTAGGTCAGCTTCGGGCCGCGCGAGGGCGACGAGCGGAACATACGGCTCTCCATTGCCTGCTGGAACATCCTATGGATCATGTCTGGGCGATGTCTCGCCAACAAGGCCTCTATGTGTCGCATGGACTCTTCGGGGATATCCATATTGTCGTCCATGTTGGCGAGCACGACAGTGACGATCTACCGATGGGCGTGGGCGGCAGCGACGGAGCTGTGCATTCCTTGCCAGTGCTGCCTGGATGGACCAGCTCGCTGCGGGGTGCTCAAAAGCGAGTTGTACGCTACACTGGCCTAAGGAAGGGCTGAAGTGGCATGCGCGCACCGTATTGGGGATATAGGGGTGGAGGAGTGGATGAACGTGTCTCCGGTAAATGGCCACAAGCTCCTGTTGGTGCGACCAGGCTGTTATATCACATCATCAGAAGCAGCGGGGAGCGCGGGAGGGTAATCTTCTAGAAAGACCGTAGAAGAAGCTAAATTGCGTCGGGGTCGCAGAAGAGCTCGAGCCCCGGCATCGCCAGGCCACAATCCCTGTCTGAACCCAAGTTTGAGGCAAGGCTGATGATTTTGCAGAGCGCGCCGAGTCCTAGCGCGTTTGATGCTCGCAGGGTCTGGCGACCCGCGGGAAGCTCAGCGCTCGAGCGCGTCGCTCGTGCGATGGCGTAAGAGCGTTGCGCCGCCCACAGCGCGCCGCTCGAGGCCCTCGACGCCAGCTGGAGCCGGTGAAGGCCGCGAGCGCGGGCGCAGGCGGAAATGGGGGGTGGGTCAAGCGATGGGGCGCTGTTCGCACGCCCTGGAGGATTGGACGGTGGCGCACCTATCACAGCAGCACGACTGAGCACTTGCGGCAGATGTCTGCGCTAGGCCGATTGCTGCAAGGGGAGCTGGAGCATGTCGTTGGCTCTTCGGATGACGCATGGATGGCGGTGCTGCTCGAAGGGTGCTGGTGTGCGCTCCATGGTGAGATGCAGGCAGCGACGTGCCGGGGACAGGGCCAGAAGGAGGGGGCCGTCCGAGAGCCTCGGTGCGCGCATCCTCGCGCTGCCGATGGCGGCCACGGCCACGTCGAGCATCCGGAGCCGTCGCGAAACGGCAGGCTCGCGGTGCTCGATCGAGAGCTGTGTACGCGGCCACGATAAACGATAGCATTGCAGGACCGTGTTGGCCGCCTCCTTGTAACCGCTGTGGCGACATTCTTGCTGACGCGCACAGTCCAGCAGCGCCCTGGTGCACAGGCTAGGGCCCGGGCAACCGCTGCTCTTGGGATCGCCATTTACGAAGCGCGTCCGTCGATGCAGTTCGCAGGAATAGGCAGGTTTGAAGGCTCGCACTCGTATCCTGCGGCGGCGAAGCTGAGGTGCCCATCTGCCAGACGCATATGCTGCCGGTCCTGATGTCGGCGCGTTCTAGGTCATTGCGACCCGGCGAAATCGGGGCGCGCGTGCGGATACACCAGAAGCTCCATCAGGCACCGCTACGACATCGCGTCACTTCGGCCGTCCGTGTGTCTGGAGATAGTCCGGAGACAGCCAATACGGTCGTCCAGCATCTGTGATCCTAGAAATAACGGAGGCGGCCTGAGTGCCACCATTGCCGCCTCAGGCTCCCGCGAACGCATGAGGAAGGCGCTTGGCACCGTGCTGATGCAGCGAGTCGTGACAGCGGCTTTGTCCGCTCGAACGCCTGGCACCCGTGTATCAGGTGGAGCACTGAGCACTGAGCACTAGCTCTCTGCCTGTCGCCTTGTCACGTGGAAGGGAGTCCTCAGGGGTTGGGACTTCGTGCCGACGCTTGTGGAAGCAATCAATAGGTGAGAAGGATCTGCCTTCTCACCCATGTCTGATGTACATTCGTACAATTGCGCGACACTCATAAAGGCAGTAGCTAACAGGGACTACTAAGTCGTCACAAGGGATCATGGACCAAGGGTTACATGGCTCACGTGTGGGTGTTTAGTCAATGTACATACACCGTACGACGAGTGAGCGTGATCTGGGAGCCATTTCAGAACGCCACTTCATCCAGGTCCGTTGACAACTGCATCTGAGTGAGATAACTTGCCTGCTGCTTGCAATGGTTACAGCGGCATCGAGAAGAATTAAGAACACAAAGCATGAGTTGAAAGACACAGACTCGGTCGTGACGTCCGCAGCTAGATGAGATATTGGTGCATGCTTTCAACGTTTGCTACTCGACCATCTCTTTGATATGTCCGTTTCCATCTCTTGTACCGCGTCAGAGCAATGTTCATCGGTACCTACTTGGTCGAACAATAATAGATGGCGTAACATGAACTGGTGAGGCCTGTTGCGTCCGGTGGATTGATAGCTGAACACATGGTCAGTCATGTCAAGGAGGCTCCCGGCGTCGTGCGCCTGCATTGCAAACTGACCATACACATATCGTTCGCCACCTTCAGAGTAGCAATCGAACTTCGTCCCGAAGCCGTTGGATCCGCTGCCGACATATGTTCCCTTGCTCTATCGCAAATAGTTTGTTAGCATATTCTGGTATTTGGCATGGCGAGGTACGGTGGGAGTGGCGAGTAGAAGCCGCAACACGATTCCCCTGAAACCGACAGACAAGACCAAGTACATACTTTTCCTCCAGCATCAGCCGCGATGGTGGCGCAGAAGGTGGTATCGGAGAAGTTTCCGCATGTCTTCCTCCCCTCCCAATGAACACGATCGTCTCTGCCACCAGTGTTGGGTCCTTTTGCCTCGATCGAAGGCGTCTTGCCTGCCGGTTTCTTGCCATCTGGATAGGACGCCGTGGGAGGAGTGTTCGTGAAGTAGTCCATTTCACTCCACTGGTATTGGCCTGAGTAGTAGTCCTGGTGGCAGTTGCTGAGGAACACAATCGCGCCGGACGCCATGTGCGACAGAGAGAGGAAGGTAACCGCGGTGGCGAGCGCCTGACGAAGCATTTTGGTAGGCCGAATGAGTGAATCACAAGTGCCAGTGGCGAGTCTTTGCGATCTATTGCAGGAGATTTATGTTGCGAGGAAAGTGCGATGAGCTCGGTATCCATCTACATTGTCGGACGCTGGTCTTTAAATGCCGATGGATTTGTTTTTAATGTATAGCCTGGTGACAAGTTAGCCCACATTTACAGGCGATGAGAAAGTGATGTTTGGCGAACAATTTCTGAATCCGGCGATTACTCACCTTCACTCTGCAGAAGATCAATCTCGACCCATGCGGCAAATACTTTTGTGATTTGCCTTATTGACGGTGAAGCTAGTATGTAATGCAGGTTCTCGCCACTCATTTGCTCATGTAGCCTAGTCTTCTTGATCCTATGACAGGAATATCATATTCTAGCAATCTAAATGTTGACCCAGTAATGTCCTGCATTTTCTTGCCCTACCAACACAAGCATTTGGGAAGGGTGTCTGGTGAATAGCCAATTCTGCGAACATCGAAGCAGCTGAATAATGAAATCACAAAAAAGACAAGCCTGTGTGCCTGATATTGTTTGACTGCAGTCCGTGGCTACGCATCGATTAGGCTGTGGTGATACTGTGGGGGAGGCATTTTTTTACTGGGCTGGACTGGAAACAGAGAGTTCAGCCTGGCTGTAGGCGAAAGCGAGAGGTGCCTGCACGCAAGATACAGGTGAAAGAGGCGCACGTGGCCTGGCGTCCTGTGAGTTACGCGAACGCGCTACTGCGGCTGCCAAGTTGTCCACACCCTCAACCCCACTCACTCCGAGCTGTGGGGGTCCCGTGGCGCAACGTTTCCTAAGCTTTCGCCACCGCATCATGTCGTCTTACCGGCCCTCAAATGGCAAAGCGCCCGTTGATGAGGTCGAGACGGTGGACCTGACATTCTCCTCGCCAGAGCCTGAGCCTCAACCCAAGCAGCCGCACCAACAACGACAATATGATCGATACCTAACCAAGCAGCGAGTCTCGGGTTACCTTAAGAAAGAGCTCGGACGGACGCCGATCAGGGCAAACGGCGCGTCGTCGAGTAGTTCACGACACCACACCGCCGCCGCCAACATCTCAGACCCCCTACCCTCAGTCTCTGCGGAGCATCTTCGTCAGATTATCAACACGAGCTCACCGCAAAAAGTCGCTGAGCTTTTACTTGACCTTTGCAAGTCGTCACCTGCGCTGTCCGGGGCGGTTGCGCGCGGCCTAGCCCCCCACTCGACCTGGGCTCAGAATACCATTAAGGACTATCAGCGGAGGACCGGGGTGGCACAAGTTAAGTCAGAGGTGGGAAAGCCATCGTCATCTTCAGGGGCCATTCCAGGACGAACCTCCGAGAATCGCAGCTATGAATCACCTAGGACACCGTATTCAAAGGCTCCTGTCAGATCTGAGGTAGGTAAATTCAAGGCGGACTCTGATGACAGTCTGAGCGATCTGGAGATGATTCTTGCGCAACCCAGCCGTTCTTCAAGAGGCAAGGCCGTTGCCGGACCGACTTCCTCAATTCATCGCGCTGCGCCTGATGAAACCCCGCCATCATCAATGCATCTATCTCAGCCCCCGCTACCAGTCAGGGTTAAGCCGGAGCCGCAGATCACCGCACTGCTATGCATGCAATGTGATAAGATGATACAGCCGGGAACGAACTGTCTTTACCATCTGGGGCGTCCCAAGATGTCTACGCAAGGCAGTCAGAAGATCCAATTGTGGACCTGCTGCAACAAACCCTTGGACGCTGCCGGATGTTGCAACGGAGACCACATTCCCCTGCGAGAAAGCACTTACGACCCTGTCCCCACATTGACAGGACCCAAAAAGCCCAGATTGGTCTAGTCGTTCACGGAAAAGAATCTCGAGTGCACTCATTATTCCAGAAGAGGCGATATGCATGGCGATAGAATTCGAGACACGGATTCCCGACTGTGGTGCAGTGTGGCCGTGCGGCGTGGGTGGCGCGTGGCGCATGCAAGGGAGGCCGACATTATGATCTGGCCTTTCAACTAACATTCGTCTTGGAATTTTCCCTAGAAGAAGGGGCAGTTGGAGCTGTTATTGATTTTGCGATCCACAGCGTCATTGGAAGTTCGATCTGCGGGTTTGGATCCTGCATACCTTTGCGGTCATTTGGGTATAGCGCCAAACGATTATACCACATTTTGAATATAGATTGTAAGATAAACTTTTCTTTACATCCTGCGACCGTGATGCTCTTGACCGGGTCTGACTACACTCACACGTGGTCGAGTCCATTCCAAGTTCCCGATGCATTCTAAACTCACTGCACCTACTCCAGACTCAGATGCCCAGCGAACCTTGGGGAGCTTCCAGAGTGTAGGTTAGCTGCACTTTCAACCGCCTTGGTTTTCAATACTTGTCGCATATTACCGATCGCAGCGAGCCTTTGCTAACTCCACTATTCTACAGATTGCCGTGCATTGGCCTCGCAATCGAAAGACGTCATTGCGACTCAAGTGAATACTGTTCTCGATTTGATTGAAAGTCGCTACGGCCACGCAAAAGGGAGCCAATGGACAAACGCGAAAAGTGTCGCGGGAAATTGCACGCTTAGTCAACGCACGTGTATATATCAACAGCACCTTCCCTCACAACGTCACCCTTCGGCTAGGGATTTTCGCACACTCGCCCTAGCTCAACGAGCTTCTCTCTATCCCGGAGACCACCGTGAGTCCAGATTGGTCAGCATGAAGATCACGGCCATCTTATCAGCTGGCGTCGCAACCATTGGTATTGTGCTAGCAGCTCCAGCAGTTCAGTACGATGAAGCCCCGAGCTCTTTCGAGGCGCTGGCCGGATCTGGAGACAAATGGGCTTTGCATGCCAACTCAGTGTAAGTCACACACTCCGCGCGAGCTTCAGCCTTAACTGAAAACTGGATAGCTCGGGAAACCCGCGTATGTTCAAGAGCCGTCCCATCGTCGCCCTCGGTGAGGGTACGATCGATGGTGTGCCGCAGAACCACGCCCCCCCGACGCAAGTGCACCTACCGCCCTCTTTCGGTCTAGAGAACTTCACTGCTCACCCTCAGTCTACGCCCGTGACCTTCACCCTCACGCACGTGGGCGGTCAAAATGGCACTCGCTACAGCCTCACCAAGTAAGTCTATGTTCATTCCCATAAACCCTCTCTCGATCTCCTGTACTGACTCTAAATAGCGTGACTTTGACCAACGAGAGTTGGAAGACCGCCAACTTCGCCACAGAGTACATCTTCTACGAGCCGAACAACATCATCGCCATCGGCTGGTACACGCTCTTCAATCAACCTTGCCCGAAGCGCGTGGGCTGCGATCCGCTGGGCTGGGACATCCGCGCAGAGGGCAACCAGAAGCTTCTGAAGCCAGCTGATCAGACGGGTGGCGCTTGGGATGCGGTGAAGACGAAGGAAGGTCGCGGATGGCGCGTTGTGTGGAAGTCGAACGTGGCTACTGTGCACAACGAGGTGAGGATCTCTGTGGTACCTTTCGACAAGTAGGGGAGGATTGGAGCCATGCTGTGCAGGAGAGAAGTCTATCGGATCAAATGCTGAAAACTGATATGAATTGGTGATGTCATTGGCATGATCACAATTCGATGGTCTGAGAGTAGCAGACACCCCCGGACGAGGAAAAATTTCCGAGATTTCCGAAGCGATGCATGAATACAGTGATGGCTTTCGATGTCATCATCTGCCTGTTCCTGTGCAGTCGCAGCTTCCATAGAAGGTACATTTCTCATAGGGAAAACTATGTTAACCCAAATAGGGATAGCTCTCCCGCTTGAGCATCGAGCGCACTGGTGCGAACATCACCCTCCCTCACCTCCACGAGTGTCTCTTCACAACTCACAACCTAGTACATGCACCAATTTGACCCCCTTGAACCCCTCCTGCAGTGCTCCGCCTCACTTTCAGAGTACAGGGACCCTCCAAATGGCGCACTCTCTCGTTGGCTGAAGCTGTCTGACCGCGCCACTCGAATACGGTGGCGGCGCGTAGCTGGCTCGGCCCCGGACAGTTGGTGTGGGGCGAGCCTTGCGGCACTCACGGCGCAAGCAATAATGTAACGGGGGATACGGATCTGCAATTCCAGCTTCTGGTACGTTTTGATTGCTCGCGAAGTGTGTTCGGGAAGCTCGACTTGACCCCAGGTCGCGGCAAATGAAAAAGAAGGCAACAAGATGCTGACACGCCACGCATGCAGGCACCAATGTCAAACCTCAACAAAATTGCATTAAGAAAGATCGCTAGACATGTCGACACCGCTTCGAATTGGCGATAAAGATCTGCGAGGCATCTTCAGCATCATTCCATGCAGGCATCTGCTCTACCGATGCCGCGCGTCAGCCCACGATCCTCTGTCAATGCTTGCAGTGTTGCAGTCATTACATCGATCGTCGTCTCGCCTGGCACGCGACTATCGAGAAAAGGGTTATGACTCGTCTTCATCCCTGAACGTCCACGTGGTGGACGGTCTTGTAATCCCCGCACTCCGCTATCTCCTGTTTAGTTACACCGCCTATTCCGCCCCGTTGCTGCATGCGATTGCTAAATGACACTCAATACCGAGCTGCCCGCCAGTCTTGTCCTACAATTCCCCCCGGCGTCTTGAAGCTACTACCGAAAGCGGCTTTTCTGGGCTGCGTAATCCGACTCATGACACTGTTGAACTAGAGTCAACTCATGGCTACGGTACCACCCACAAAGTGAAGAAATATCTACTCTACGAACTTATTTTGACCGCGTTGATCTGCTGCTGCATGGTGCTGTATATCGACTAGCGTCTCTGCGGCCTGCTGCAGTTTCATGCAGTCCTAAGGGTGAAGAGGACCTTCTCAATGCCCATTCCTCTACCATTGCGCCTGTACTGGTTTCTCATGTCCGTTTAATAATTATTGCGAATGAATCCGATCGAATGGCCAAGCTAGATGTCGAGAAATTGCTCCTGCATACTCCTGTAGGCATCGCTCAGCCCCTTCGCATACTGCAATAAGCCTCCAACTTTTTTGTGTTACAGAAGATCCTCTAGCGATCAGCGGCTTCGATCTTGTCTTGCATAGGCAGTCTGGCGCAATTCTACGTACACCTGGCATCGCAAATGCATCCAGTACGAAATCTTGGGGCATCATGGTCACCGGGCTGTGTCCTACCTGAGATTTACGCTCGCGCTTGTCTCAGAGGAAACTAGGGCCTGCGATCTCCCACCAGGCTACGCAAACATAAGGTAGCTGCCGTCACCATCTCTCGCGATCCATCATACTACTTTGCATACACGACTTGTTTTTTTTTTCCTTGTCGCTCCTTAGACACGCTCTTTCAGCCCTAAACATCGCCTGCCCCCTGCGATACTTCGCTTCAACGACCAATCGCCAGTGTCGACCGTGCTCCACCAGGGGCAGTCATTCCTTTTCGAGCCAGCGCGTCAACTTGGTAGCTTGCTACATCGACCAATCCGACCACTCCGGCCACGACCGATACATCTGGTTCTTTTTGGTCGTTCAGCATAGCCTTCGAAAGCAAATTTGATCTGTAACCAACTGGCAAGCTGAGATAATGGAAGATCAGTATTTGGACTCCCTGCTCGATGGTCTTGGCACAACCCAGCTTCAGTATCTGCGACAAAGGATAGACGAAAGACTAGGAAGACATGACTTTGCGGGAAGCACTGAAGGTTCGGATCTTGAATGAGGTATCCATATCACATAGCTGATCGATCATACCAGACCAAGTTCCGTTCGTCACAGAACGTGGCACGTACTACTCTACTGCTTCAACGCTCTATCCATCCGGAAGGTCTACGCCGATAGCATGCTCGATAACCAGCGACTGGAAATCCAACTTTGCTCACCATGATATACCTGACCATAATCTGTCACACACGATCGACCCTTCTCCATGGCATTCGCATACTGTTGCCGACGATCGGACTCATCTACGTACGTGTGTTGGTCAAGAGACTCCACACAAGCCTCTCAATGAAGTCAAGGTCGCTGAATCGACCTCTAAAAAGTTTTTCTGCACATTTTGTTTTGAACTAGGCTCTTGGAAAGACTTTGGGACAAAGCACGACTGGAAACGTCACGAGGAAGACTATCATGATGGAACCGGCCTCCAGTGGTTATGCCAGGTTGTCGGCTGTTCTCAAATGTTCTCGCGCGGCATTGACTTCAGGAACCACCTGAAGAAGGGTCACGAGGGTAAGATGTACCCTCGAGACTGCAAAGAAGTTCGACAAATAACTCGCATGTACGCGTGTGGCTTCGACAACTGTAGAGCGCTCATCACCACTTGGAAACATCATTGCGACCATGTCGCCACACATATGGCTGAAGGCGACACGACTTGGACATATGACAGAACCATTAGGAATCTTCTCAAGCACCGGAATCTTGCAGCCCAATGGAAACAGACCTATGGCACTATGTGCCCTCAGCTACGGATTGTTCAACAGGATCTTAGTTGGGACATTCAAGCAACACGTTCACTGAGGGATCAACTGGAAACTCACAGTTTCCATGTCCACTTAGAGGAGTTCTTGCTCGACCTCTTCTCTCGAGGACTTCCGCCAGCAAGGACAGACGCTCTTGTCGACCACACGCTAGCCTCTGGTCTGACCTCTTCATCTCTATACACTGGCCCGCCAAGCATTCCTCCCATCCTTCCTTCATCGATGGATTTTGGTCTTGATCCCTCTTTTGAAAGCTACGGTGTTTCACAGCCCGGGACTACGCATCCGAGCAACGATATTTCGGTACTAGCGCTGAACAACCGTAACAGCGTGGTCATGGCCGACGCACCGCCCTTCGATGGATCCGGTACCTTCAGTACTCCTCCACATGACCCTTTTGAAGAGGTTCCTCTAATGGCGACCGAGTTGATCTCGCTTGGCGGGTTCATCACCGAGACGAGCCCGACCTACGATACCTGCTCAACCGGAGCACAGGAGCATGCGAATATCCAGGATATCCCCAAGTCTCACTCGCCCCGCGCTCTCGTGACCAAAAGTCGAGAATGGCTCGCATCGAAGAAGTCGCAACACTTCCAGCACGGCGTCATCGACCACCCCGATGTATCGCCAAGTATGCGTCTACCCAGGAGCCCGAGCCGAAAAAGGTCGATGACGACTGTGCATCGGGTGCGCGGCGGCCAGTCCTGAAAATATTCGACAACGATATTTCTGTCACCGAGTTCGACCCCTGCGGTACACCCCTACGCCATGTCTGGAACTCCAGATGTTTGTAAGATAAAGGACGGGAGATTTTCGGCCTACTTGTCTCTGTAATTGTACGATTTTTCCTTACGATAGTGAGATATGATAATGTTATGCTGGGTTTGGTGGCTGGCCAGTTAGAAATCGGCGAATGATTCAACCTCGCTCGAGGGAGAAATCGTTGCTGTATAGTGAATCCTCTCACACGGTCAATGAACTAGTGTGATCTTAGAAAGTTAGTGATGTCTTGGGCATGTGTCCTAAGGGATTCAACTGTTGTGAAACTTGGATTTGAAACTTGTTCGTCGTTTCAATGATCAGGCGCACTGTGCAATCTTCAGGATATTTGTTGGAATTGTACGGAGGTCATACTAGATTCGCTATTCTTCAAGAGTTTGTTTGGGAAGAGACTCAACGATCACAGCCCTAGTCAACATCATGGAAAGATCTCGGCTGCGAACCAACCTCAGGCTCACCATCTACAACCTCGCCTTTTCCTCCTCAAAGTCTCTCAGCTCCGGTCTGTTCCCGTTCCTAGGGCTCTCGCCAAATTCCTTCGCACCTCGTTCTTTTAACTCTTCTTCGCTCTTCCACTTCCAAGCCCTGTCCTTTTCTTCGCCGTTGCTCTCCCCGTTCAGCACATTCAGCAGGTACTTCCCCGCATTTGGCATGAACTTGTACGAATGGAAACTTCCTCCAACAGCGATGTACAGGTTACCTAAGCGATCATCTGGATGGCGCGAAAGCACCCAGTCTTCGGTCGGCGTGACGGCGTCGTAGCATATGCGCCAGCGATCGGGACTCCGGGCTTTGGTCCACTCTGGCATACTGCTCTTGACGACCTTTTCGCTCTCTTGGATGAGTCTCCGAGGTACGTGCATCTGGTTCTTCTTACTTGGGGTGGTTATTTTGCGTCCTGAGGCTGTGGTGATGGTGTTCGTGAATTCGGTTCTCAGGTCGTTGACCTTGAGAGTCGGGATGTGGTAGTAAGGAGGGATAATGTCGACTTCGCCGCCAATGACTACAATTGGGAGGTTTGTGTCCATCATATAATTCGTTTCCTCTTCGCTGAGGTCGAAGTACGCAGACAATCGCCCGACGGCTGTGACCTGCCGCTCTATCCGATCCTTGTCCGCGATGTTGAGTTTGTCTTCGAGTGGCGAAAGTAGGCCGCTCGTCCACGCTCCTGCCGCAATTACGACTTTGTCTGCTCTTAAGATTGTCCCGTCTTGTAGCCTCACTCCCTCCAAGCCTGTGTCGCCATCTCGAAATAGAAGCTCCTCAACCTCTCCTGTAATCCGCTGCACGCCTCGACTTTCAGCAACCCTCAGATACGCTTTCGTCGCTTTCGCTGCATTAACCCATCCTGCTTCAGGGTTGAAATACCCGTTCCCTAGATCTGCGCCGTTCAGACCTTTCAACACATCATGCTCTTTGATTAACTTATCCGCATCAACATTCCTGATAATGTGCGACCCCCTATCTTCAAACGTCTTGCGTACCCCGTCGCGAAACTCCCTCTCCTGTCTCGGCCCATCGAATACCGTCCATCCAGCTTTGTGAAAGTGTCCTTGGACTTCCATATTCCAGAACCAAAAGTGTATAGCTTCGTTAGCGAGATTGCAGTAAAGCGGCGACGTGTAATCCGTCCGGATAATCCGGTTGATATCTATCGCAGCAGCATTTTTGTCTTGTACAGCACCATCAGGACACCAGCGGTCGACTATTGTGATCTTAGAAGCATCGGGATAGGACTTGGAGGCGTGCACGGCGAGGGACGTGCCGAAGGTGCCGGCGCCGATGATGAGGAGACTAGGGGATTGGTCTTCTTGCGCCATTGCTAGTGTCGACTTAATTCTTTGGGTCGGACATGCGAAGCACAAGCAGATGTTTGATATGTTTTTGAATTTCTTGGCTAGTGGGGGCGTCATGGTGCGGATCCGACGTAGGTGCGTCGTCGATCATTAAGCCACATCGAGGGTGCGGAGATCGCTCCGCGAGTCATACGGCGAGCTCCGCATTATGCCTAGGTACGCGCAAACGACTTGCTGTGCTCCAAATGTCCACTCATCGCCTCTAATACTCTGCATATCAACGTTGTTCTTGTATTGTTACACTGGCGGCACATCTGTCCATGTTTGACTGCTCGCTCTATGGGATACTATTGTTGGCTTAAAGATCTAGAAAATCGCCACTGAGGTATAACTCTACGATTTTGAGTCCGTGCTATCAACATACAACGCAGGGTGTTCTATCTACAAGTTAAGAATCGCTCATATTGAGACCTGGTACAGCTCAGATGCTTATAGCGAGCGCCTCAGTACACCTCGCCTCACACCTCGAAAAATGCACTGCGAAGTACCAGCTTCCTTTCAATGCCATTAGCAAACTTGGTACCGTGTTCCTCAGAGATAATGCATGTAGTATAGTAGCGGCAATCGGTGCGGGTAGCGATATTGTTCGTAGCGATTTGTTGCTGCGGTTAAAATAAATGTGTAGGCCCGAATGGCCACCCGATGCGTGAGAGCATTGATAGAAAGCGGCGATTCACAGCAGTTACTTCAATTTTAATATCAGCCTTCGCGTCTGTGCGAAATTCAACAGCATGCAAGCTAATTGATAAGTTCAATACGGAATACTAACTTTGCACCATCCGATTAGAGCAAACTCAACATTGTATGAGCTTCGATGTTTGGCATGACGTCTGCTTTTAGTGAAACTCCATTATCTTCATGTTTGGTCATGAAGAATTTCCGGGGGTTTTCGGGCTTAGTGTACTGGACGAGGCAGCTCTTTAGAACAGCGGCGCGGTACGCTGGAAGGTTGGCTCGGTAACAATAACGTCAGTGGGTCCTGAGAGGCAGATCGGATACAGTGTAGCGAAAGTGACTAAAGTGCCAGCGGTAGAATGTAAAGGTGACATAGAGTCACCACAATCATCTAATAGAGCTGGTTTTTGTCACTTTATTACCACAGTTGCAATTTTGATATGAGAATCTGGGATAAGTGGTATGTTAACACCAAAGTTTAGGCACGCAATCCCACTGACAAGCTGATTGTAGGACGCACAGCGCTTTTAACGCTGGTCAATTTTCGGACATTGCAATCAAACAACACATCCCTTCGATTATGTATGAGCTGTCCGACCTCATCGTTCTTCTCGTTCAAGAATTGCCGAGCATGCAGGAGGTCGAGTCAGATGTGTCACCGCGAGTCGCTCCCGTTCTCGAGAAATATCCCGAACCATTCAGTTTCCGCGCCATGCGTTTGAAAGTTGGAGTGAAGTCGTGCAGCTTGATGCTCAAGTGTTTTGATAGCCTGGAGTGCTTGGGGAAGCGCATAGTCGACCTCCCCAGCAGAATCTCCCAGAAAGTCTCTCGGCCAGTTCTTAAGGCACATGCTAGATTCTATAATGAACAGGAAGACCATGTGACTGAAGTACAACCCATACAAACCAAGATCCAGGAGCGGGAAGAAACCAACCGTGCCCGACAGTGGGAGCATTTTCAAGCCAAAGAGACAACAGATGATGAGGCTGAGAGATTGATAGACCCTGAAGACATTGTACGGAAGAGAGATCTGATCAATCAACCGCTTGCATTGTTTTGGAGGGAGCGGATGCGAGAATTGACACCCTTGAGGATTGCTCTCGGTCATTTGACTTGTTGTTTTCTTCCAGCCTTAACGCTCATGGTATCGCTCTTATGTGCTCCAAAGGCAGGGGTGGGAGAAAGTGCATGGGTTACCTCAGACGATTCAAGATTGAGTAGCAGTTTCCATTCATACTTTGCATTCAAAAATTCATGATCTCGCTTCCATTCTGCTCCAAAGATTGCCAACCGAGCTAGGCAAGTATGATGGCCAATATTTTCCACCTTCAAGAGCATCCATAGCTGCATGTCAGCCATCTACAAAGTTACCTTCATCCCGTCTTCGTCTTCTCCTCAACCTGCGTACCAACGCCCAAGCCTCCCAAAAACGCAAACCTGATCAAGGCGACCCAAATTGTAAAGCCGGCATTGAACCAATCTTCGCCCCTCCACTCAGCCAACTCAAGCCGGTTTTGTTGCTTCAACATCGACCACAAAGTTACTAGCAGTGCGCAATCAACCACCAATGTAGCGAATTGGACGATCTTCCATACGTTCAAATCGCTCGAAACGCGCAGTAGAGCACCAAAGATGATAGCCATGAATGCGTACAGTGCTGCACTTTGGTATAGTAGCGGACCATGGGACAGAGGATCGTAAGAGGCGAATGAGGTTGGGACGGAGGTTGCTAGCATGGTTGAGGGCGATAAGATGCATGCTAAGATTGTGAATACCAGGGTGGTGGGGTCGACAATTGTAAACCAGATACGATAGAATGGATGGATGTGAGCTGTCGACATTGTTGAATGTTGATATGGCAACAATTATGCAAGTTGAGAAAACGTTACAAAGGATCACCACCAACTTCCAGGGGTGAGGCACGGTTTGACATTTGAAGTACTTCGTAGCGCGATACAGTTTTAGCGCTAATATTACGTAAGCACGCTTAGCTGATTTGCGTTGATGGCGGGTTGGACGGACCTGAACTTATTGATCCTGAACGTGAAACCGAATGATATCGTGGTTGGCTTAGTTCCGTTTCAAAATCATGTATTCGACTCTCCTTTCCAATCGCCCCTGCATCTTCATCGATCGTCGCACATTCATGGAACGGCATAAAGTAAAAGGGAACACGAGGAGAGGTTGCTAAGGCGAGCGTATACCTTATATCATCAGTAGAGGCTAGTCTGGCCTCTTCCTGCTAGTAATACAAGTCTCGGAATTTGATTCGTAAGCTTATCAGCGAAAGCTACTTTGTTTATTCCAATATTGAAAGCATACGACTATGTCGCTTCCAATTCAGGTCAGAACTACGTTGCATCCAATTGCGCTGCACATGACGAGCGTGAGCTTTTGTTTCTCGGTTCCTATTGCTTCCATAGGCTCCTCCTTCGGCAGACGTAGACTTGAGAACTTTTGTAGCATTCGCGCTACGACGTAGCCTGCTTCTGCGCTAGTTGTTAGTACGATAAGATATAAGAGCTAATAGATCGCACTCACGCCCTAGGCACAGTCGTGATCCACCGTTGAATGGGATGTAACCAAAACAAACGACTACCGTTTTCAAGCCAACGCTCTGGGCGGAAGGCTTCAGCATCAGGCCCGAATGTCTCCTGCCGTCTATGCATGATGTACGGACAATAGCCAACAGCTTCTCCCTTTCGCACCAATATGGGAGCAGTACCATTGGGACCTCCGCCAGTTGGAAGAGTCGTTGTATGAGTGGCTGTGCGTGAATTGATGGGCACAGATGGATACAGACGCAGAACTTTGAGTGGTAAGTCATCCATATGGTCTAGTTACTGCAACATAACTTACCTTCTTTGAGCACTGCATCCAGATATTTCATACATTTGATCTTTTGGCGAGTTATCTGGCCACTAAAACCACAGGAGTTGAGGATATCTTCTCGACACCGATTGAATACAGCCGAGTGTTTCGCAAGAAGGCGACTATGCAGGGCAGGATTAACGAGTGCTAGCGGAAATAGATCAGTAGTCATACAATGTCCAACTCAGCAGACACGCGGTCGTATCTCTTCCCGCAAGGAGCACGTTGAGACATTGCTCGCGAAGGACCTTTTTCTCTGTCGACTGCTGCACGAGATCCTGCAAGATCGATTGTGTCGATTGTTTATCGCCGGTATCTTGCTCTTGCAATACTTGCATGATAGCATTGTCTACGTGCTCGTGCACTCGTTTGCACTGGATGCGAAAGTCGGAGCTATCGATGAGCCAATGGAGCCCACCCAATCGGCCACTCTGAGCAAGATAATCTTGACCTTTATCAAAAGCAATGGCGAATGTATTTTCGTCATCGATGAACTCCGAGCTTAATGCGCCAAGTCTTCGCCCAAAGAGAAGGGACGATGTCGTGTCCAGGGTCAAGCGAAAAAAAATAGAGGTTGAAGATCAACAGAACCTGATACTGGAATGAGGTTGAGTAATTGATCAGTTACCTCTGCAATTTGGGCCATCGATTGATCTTGCCGACTGAAGGCAGGCTTCAAGAGCGCTCGTGAATGCGCCCATGGCTTTCCATCTTGTGTGAAGATACCTTGACCTAGCAAAGGCGCGAAAACGAGTCGACGCTCCCCCAAACCAAAGTCTTCGTGTACCCGTCAGTGAGTGGATAGAATATTATGCGAGATACGGGCACTGACCAGAGAAATGCGTGCTAAGGACTGCCTCAACGTTGATAGGGTCCACTGTATCAATGCCTCGAAATCCCAGCAGTCTCTGCTCAAAGGTGGGGCCTGTGGTCTGGACAATCTCTCTCATCACACGCAGCAATTTTTGTTCGCGAGCAGCCCGAAAGGCATGCAGAATCTACTTGAGTCCTAGAGGCCATCTTCCAGTGTCTAGAAGCGGCGCATCATAGCATCCACGCGCAATAGCAAGCGCATTGTCCGTCTATCAAATGTCGGTTAGTACAGAGTTTATGTCTGACATTTTAAAATGCAACTGCTCACCTGTCGTATCCGAAGAGCCTTATATAGACAAAGACTATCGTAGAAGCCCAAAAAAACGACCGATGATATTATGAGCATGTCTCCGAACGTTGAAACCTCATGTATCATTGAAGTCCCAGCAGTTTTTGTGGCAGGAATTTGCAAGATGGTAGTACCGAAGCGTTGAATTATGATTGCAGGGGATATAGCCTCGATTTGACGAGTCACAATCCTACAGCTTTGTAGATGAAATCTTGACTCCTCAGCCATACATAGTAAGGTATCCGTCGTAAGTGCGCTAGCTGAGATCTTCCATATGTAGCGTTTGTATCGCAAACTTTGGAAAGATCATCATGCATGAGAAATTTGAGGTTATAGTCACGGGGCACGTAGGTAAAACGAAAAGCTCTTAGTGCCGAACACGAGAGTCACAAAGCTTTGGGAAATCATACTTGGGTTAGGTTGCACTGTATCGTTTTTGTTCCTTGCAGTGGGCATCATAGCAACAACAAGCGAATTCAGTGGAAGTTTCATCAAGTTCTTTTTTTTTTGGTTCGCCCTGGCCTGGATTCTCGCGAGTAGCTCTTTACTTGCTTAAATCGTTCGAGCATTTGGTGGCGACGGAAAAGACTGTCTGAGTGCGTTCCTGGCGGCGGTGGCAATTTGGCTAGTGGTCATCCAGATAGGCCAGACCAAGCTGTATGGCCAGTTGCAAGACCCCCAAAATCAATCGAATGAATAGATAGAGTGGACTCCAATTTATATAGTAAGGAGGTGATCAATTTTCCTGCTATACCATGGGCGGTCAAGTAGGTAAGAGTGGCATTGATTCCTCCCCGGGTCCTGATTCCACCTTGCCACTGGACGTGGCTTGTTTACCGCTGTTAATTGGATTAATCTACCACAAACGAGAAGTTCGATGCTGCCGCTCCCTCACTGAAGCAAGTAAAAGTGACTCATCGTCCATGCGCGACTGTGATGATACCATATTCATATCGTGTACATGGAAGGGTGCTTGGGCTCCAACGATGCGCACCATTTACCAATGTCTTACCGTCCCAACCAAAGCTTCTGTCACATGAATCATGGAGACGATGGACGAGGGGAAATCACTAGATCGAGTAGGAGAGATGATCTGCGACCAATCTTGACACGCGGTCGCACGCGACTAGTAATTACTCCCGACCGGTCTTTATGCGGCGAAATAACTGATAGCGCAGAACTATCGCTCGCCATGTACTGCGATGAGACTGATTAACAGTCCCACAGCACTCCGCCCCTAAAATTGCCATGGCGATCTAGTACGATACTTATATTCTCCGACTGAGCATTACAACGCTTAAGCTTTCGCCCAAGCTGTCAACCTAGTGATGATCTCAAGCTATCCCTGATCGATGCCAACACGTCAAATATGGATCTTCACATCCACTACGGCGGAGGGTTTAGATCTAGCCCATCCACGGATAGATGGAAGCTATCTAACCTTCCATAGCTCCCCGCTACATCTAGATCCAGGCGGCCCCTCTCGCAGTCTTCGAAATCGACTTTCTGGATCAGCATCTCATCCTCGACCTCCCACAGTGGGCCCGAGAGGACCTCGCCGAAGGGTGAGACGATGCAAGAGCCACCACGGGAGACGAATTCGTTGCCACTGGGGTCAACCTGCCCCTGAGGTGCGGAGTGTGTTATGGACTGCGAAAGTTTGCTTTTGGGAGCAGCGGTATGGATAGCTGTCTGAGGTTCGTCTTCGATGGCCGAGCCGTCGCCGTTTGGCTGCGAAGCGCCGTTCGCTTTCTCCTCGACGATGGGCCAGCATATCTCATGCTTGTCCTCAGTCACAGTGATCGTGCTTCTTCTCCTCGACCTATTGTGACCAGGCTCTGCGGTTTCGCTCACATTGCCATTCGCCGTCGTCGTCGTCGTCGTCGCAGACTCCCCAGTAATCCACTCCGGCAATTGGCTCTTCTTGACACACTGATTTGCGCTAACCACCGCGCACCTCCCCTCAATTCCCACCGTCCTCATTAAGCTCGCCCAGCTATCCCTCGCATCCGCCGTCGGCGCAAACCACAAATTCACATTCTGGCTATACAGTGCCTGCCTTAGCAGCGGCATGTAGTTCTCCCAGCAGATGGCCGCCGCCATGCACAGCCTCACGCCCTTGATCTCCGTGGTGACAGCGCGTAGCGTGGACGGCGACCCCTGGCCCCAAATCATGCGCTCGCTACCCGTGGGCATGACTTTGCGTCGCTTGCCCAGCACACCGGCTTTGGGACATACGTAGAGCGCACCACAGTAGAGGGTACCCGCGCATCGCTCGACAAGTCCCGTAACGATGAAGACGCCAGTCTCGCGGGCGATGCGCTCGAGCTCCTCGCGGGTGCCATCGCCGCGGTACTTCTTGCCTTTTGGTAACTCGAGGCGTCGTTCTACCCAGTCGTCTCCGCCGCCAGACGGCGTGTCGCCCAAGTCAACAGCTGCATGGAAGTAGGAGAGGAACTGGTCGCGGCCCTCGGTCGTTCGTCCCCCTACCGCATTGCCAAAGGTGCAGGTGCGTGGGTAACCGCCTAGGTAAGCCTCCGGGAAGAGGATGATGTCAACGCCTTGGGATGCGGCTTTACGTGTGGTTGCTTCAAGCGCGTGGAGCGTCTCCGCGGTGGTGGAAAGGGTGCGGCTTTGCGCGGCTGCGAGCTTCAACTTCTGTGGCATTGTGGACGGCCAATGGGATGAATTGGAGAACAGAGCACACCGAGTTGAAAGAACGACTCGCTGGGCACAGCGGAGTGCTCGCTAGGTGCGTAAGTGCGATATTTGAAGCTGTTATGATCCCAAAGCTGTACGCCGCTACATCCGTGTTGTCCGCCAGTTCCCCGCTGCGGGGAATCAACCGCGGTCAACCGAAAACGGTAAGATCATCACGTGATGACATTATCACCTAGTGCTTCGAGAAACGATCGAAGGTTCTCAAGTCCTGTCGAAGAAGTATTGCTCCATGTTTCGACGCGATGGGCTTTATTTTGTTTCGGCTTGGTGGCGCAGAAGACAGTCGATGTATGCCTCGGTGTGATTGGCAGTTGTTCGGGGTTGATGAATCTGGGCCAGGGAATACAAATCGAGTCGTCCGGAACGGACATGGTGACACGCTCGTATGTCGTGTGCAATTGCAGCCCAAACAGTGACATACAATTGGGGGCGTGATCAAAGAGAGTAGTACAGGTGTGCGCTTCGCCTCCAGCTCCGGTGTGCTCTGCGCCACGATCGTATCGAGGCTCAGCCCTAGTGGCCCTGGTACTTAAATACGGCGAACGCCCTGCGACAGCTATGCCGCTGCGAGCTCAAGCTTCTGAAGTAGATTTCCGGTCTCTGCAATCGAATTGCCTTTCGCCGCGATCATCGTAGCATCTAATTCTTTGCAATCTCAAATACCGATCATGGGCCTCTCCAAACAGCAAGAAGCCCGAGCCAATAGCTCTTTACATCCTGAGGCAGAGCAAGTCATCCGAGGCCGCGACGCCCCTAGTGACTCTGCGCAGACAATGTCGCTAACTGAGCGCCAGCGTCCCACCACCTCTCTACACCGGCCCACCCACCGCGAACCAACGTTCGTTAGTCGAAGATGTCAGCGCTAATATGGCGAATCTCAGCGAGGGTGATCCTCAGGAGACCATCTCCGTGCCGATGGTTCACAGCGCAGAGAACGTCAACTGGAAGAAACTGTGGTCGAAGGATCGCAAAGTAGTAACACACTCTGTGATTGTGCGCAAGATGCCGCGCGAGTGGTATCTAAAACATTATGCGAAAGATGCCGAGGGAAACTATGTCGGGACTGAGAAGCCCGCAGTGGATGCAGGATTGGTGTTTGTCCCGTCGAAGAGCACACCTGATGATCTGTTGCAACAGGTGCACAAGGTTGCGTTCGGGAAGCAACATTACGCAGGAGACTTCTCGTCCGGAATTGGTTTGATGTCGGGCCTAGGAGACGGACTCGCGTTGACTAGCGGCCCGAGGAAGTAGTTCGATCGTTGTTGAAACTATTATTCTATTCTTGCTAGTATGTATTTCGTATAGAATAGGTCCAGCCTCTTCAAGAATCTCGTACATTCTTCTCAATGTCAAGTTCATGTTCTTCCCGGTAAGCTGTAATGACTGTGCGGTTTCCGTTCCATATCGAGGGACTGGTGCCTCTAACGTCGTGGTGAACGGGCAAAGGGAGAGCAGTATTTGGAAGCGCCGTCAGATGTCTGGTGCTTTCAGTGCTCTCAACGCTTACTCTGTCGTCCCTATCTTCAACTATGTTCGTCGTTGTGCTGACTTTGATACGATTCAGTGGCACAGGTTCCTCGGCATGTGAAGATGTCGCGAGAGAATTTCCGACACTGAGCTTTCCGTATCCAGGGACTCTTCCGCTTGGATTTTGTCCCCTTGTGCCATGACCGTATGTGTTGCTGTGAACGGAGCTGAGGCTGAAGTAGCGCTTAAAGAAGCCTTTCAGGGCTGGGGCACAAGCACACATTACACCCAGTTGCGCCTCTAAAGCCGTCCAGACCCAGCCGTACCACGCGTACCAAGTAATATCATATGTCGTGTAGTAGACGGAAATTGCATAGTAGGCTCGCATGACGCCGCACAAGCAGGTCCTGATGTTGTCAGCTTCGTCCGCAACATGAAGTCTGACCCTATATTGCGAAGGTACTTACAACAGGCCTAGACCAAAGATACCGCAAAGCGCAGCCTTCTGTCGCTTCGAGATCTGGAGATTCCAAATAAGTATTACCGGCAATGCGCAGAGGAAGAAGTCTTGTAGTGTGCTGATGACCACTACAGCCACAATCAGAGCGCCTTCATCACGGCATTTCAGTTCATGTGACAGCCTCCAGGTAATATCGAAATAGTGCCAGTATCCCTCGATTGGCGAACATGTGAAGATTACCGAAAGGCTGAAGGCAAAGAAGTATATGATGACGAATGCGATGGAGCCCCAGATCCAGTAAACAAAGGTTTTGGATATCGACCCGTTCGTGATTCGTTTGTAGAAGCAAAGAATCGATATCTTGATCAGGCTTGTAGTTAGCAGGTACAAGACTTCGATGACCAAAATAATCTTGTGAGGTTAGCATATCGGTAGATCATTTCAGAAGATCAAAACTTGCCTTCCTGGTGGATATTAGTGTCTCCGAAGTCTGATCCCAGGTATGCCATTGGAAGCCATATTCCCGACAGGCTGTGAAACTGTCAGCTATGTTCACCGCGCGAGATAGAGACGCCACTGACCAAGCACCACCGCAATAGCCGCTGCGATCAGTGGTATGATCGAGCTGGTCATGATCCAATCATCGAGCCCGGCAGTCTTCGTCATGACCACCCTTGCCCACATCCGCGCGAAATACACTAGAATGGACAATACCAGGAATATGATCACGATGATGGGTCCAGAATCGCTGTGTCTCTCTGGATTGACATAGTTTGGAGCCGGCCAAGATAGAATAACCTCCGACGGTGCGTCCAATCCTCCCCCGCGTCGGAAGAGGTCTGCATGCCTCCTTACGAGTCCAACGCCGGCCATAGGTACTGCAGTGGCACTGCTGCTGGGTGAACAATCACGGGAATGATGAATGATGACTGAGGAAGAGTGAGCATGCCCAGCCTATATCTAGGCGGGCTGGATATACGTTAAAATCCGCGACGCGGTGCGACCCTTGTGTCCACTGTCACGCATGTGCATGCAGATCAAACTCTCTTGTCATGCAGATCCGAAAAATACCCTAGCGCTTTTGGGACGGGGCCGCGAGTACGTGGTGTGGTTGATCAATAAACAGAGCAAGCGTGCGATTTGCTCGGCAATGTCAGGCAAAGTCGGTTGCCGATGGTACCTGACACTGTCATGTCGGCTCTATTCAAGCGACCGAAGTGGGGATGCTAGGTACAACCCGTTTTCCATCGCGACCATATCTTGGATTTTCCTTGTCGATAATGCGTAGTAAACCAATGAAGATTTAGTTGCTAGTCGATCAGAGTTTGGCGGGCGCAAGGGCCGCTGTTCGGCATAGCTGCAAGGTAAGATATCCGACTTAAGGGCTAGACTTGCTTTCAATAGGGTTGGCGCTCAAGCTTTCCATGCACGACATTGTGGGCCACGTTGTGAGTGAAATTGTTCGAAATGTGCTCTCGCAATCTTCTACTTCGCGGCTAGAAGTCGATCAATTGAATAGCGATGTGCTTGGCTGTTCCTGCGCGATACACTCAGTAAACTCGAGACGAAGATTACATTGGCAGTCCGCCCGCGCGAAGTATGGTTCGCTGGCTAAGGCGCCTGTGCCTGACCCTCCCAGACTGTTCCTCCTCTGCAGAAAGGGTTCCAGAACGCAACACGAAGGCGAAGAGGCTCACAGTTCAATTGATCCTTTCCCGGGGTTATGCTCGCGTGGCAAGTCTTCTCACCGTTGAATTTTGACAGCGCCCCGATCCATGTGGACACAGGGTCGCGGTTGAAGCGAGGAGTCATGCCGGGGGGGATGAGCTATGGGTATAGCGTGTCATGAAGCTTGCTCCGAAGGTTGTGGACCAGGGGTTTGACCAAACGATAGAGTTTGGCTTGACGTTCGGCACGCATGAAACCGGGCATGCCAAGGCCAAATCTCTGGATGCCAAGGCCAGGCTTTCCTACGCAAGTACAAGTCGCAGATCCAGCCGCCGTTCGCGATACCGTAATAGGCTTGAACGAAGACGCTTCCGGTCAATCTTTCGACTGTGGGTTGCTATTGACATCGGTATCGTTGGTGAGGAAAAGGGAGGTGGGGGAGACCTCTGCCGTGGATGTGTATTGTTTGAGAAGGCGAGAAGGTGGGCAGACACGAACCCACCCTGTGCACAGACCGAAACGGCTGAGGCATCTAGCGCCCACGCGTACCTGCGCTATTAACAGCCCTAGGAGATTAAGCTGCCCTAACACAACGAGCTGCGAAATATGCGACACGATCGAACGCCCATCATCTTGACAAAACCTATGTGTGTGGTGGTGCAACTTCTAGGCAAGTCATGGGCTTCTCCCTCTACAAACGCATTGGCAACGATAAACTCCTGCCAAGCTTTTACGGTCCACCATCACCATGCGCATGCATGGTGACTATCCACCTGGACTTGGCCGTTACGGCTGAACAACATCTGGAACTTCAAGCGATCCAATAGTCTCACGTCCAAGACTCAGAAACCGATCAATGCGCCAATGTCACGAACGATATAACGCAGAGCCTCCACTCGATCCTAGGATATAGCATCTTGCTCTATAGAACTACACCCGCGCTGAGGATGTTCTACCAGTCACGTGGAAGAACAACCAATAAAAAGCTCAGATGCCCGGCAGCCTACTGGCTCTTTAAGTGCACGACCTCCGCGGAGCCGGAGGTAGAGCCGAGAGCTCTAGATCCACAAGGAAAAGGGTGGTCTTCTAGGCGACAAATAAGTCCACCTTATCCTGAGCTATATTGCCTTGTCACCTTGCCTCTGACTCCTACGCAGTTGATCGACTCATATCGCAGCGCGCTTTGGTTTGAAAGGAGAAATTCGTCTAAGTGAAAAAGAAGAATGCGTATGCACTGTAATGAACATGGCCATTGCTAGCTTGAAGCTATATTTTTGCATTCCAATTCAAGGTCCTGTGCAACCATGCAGCCCTTTCGTTAATGACGGGAAAACCTTCTTAGCGAAGGCAAGAACGTAGCAATCCGTTCGTCGCACCCCAAGCAGCCTTCTTTCGGTAGCCCTCGAAGTTCATGGATAATTAGAATTGAGGCTAAATGATTGGTCCAGTCTATACATGCCGTGGTAGAAAGTCATATTTGGGGCCTTCTCAGTGTGGAGTCTTACGTTGCGACGATATTTACACTGGCCTTAGAGAAGAGCGGCGCCCACCCGCACGACATCTCGAACAGTCGACAATGAGTATGTCCAACCCTAAACCGAGGTTCGATTAATTTGAGGCTCGAATATCTCGTCAGCAAACGTTGCTCTCGAACAGGTGTCTCACGATCCAGTTCGAGCACGCACACCAGGAGAACGCTCATCCCAATGCGTGAAAGCAGCAATAGAACGATGTGAGTTAGGGCCTAATCGACTACTGGACTAACAAGATGGTCATGTCTTTACTGATGTCGAAGAGTCTAAGAACTGAGGAGCTAGTTGTGGAGAACGTACACATAGATCACGACTCTGTTGAACTAGTGCGGCGTACGCCAAAACATCAATCAGTTCGTTAAAACAGTCCTGAAAAAGTACCGATCGCGACTTCCACCGCGACGAGTTCGGGTTCAAGGATGCGAAGGGATAGCTTTAGTGTCGGAGGCTGACGGGCTGTATGCTGCGCCCATGGAACGGAAGAGAGTTCAGGCGCGGCTCGCGTAGAACGCACATCCAGTTTCAACGGCTGTCTCCTTGCGGCCCGGTCCAGAGTTCCTGTATGAATCATCGAGAAGATGTCCGCTTGCAAGCTTGTGTTTTGCGACACTTCTTGTAGCTGAGGCATGCGATAGACTTTTCAATTTGTCAACTATCCAAACAAAACGCAACACAGCAACAACATGCATGCTAATCCACATCAATCTCTCGCTCTACAAACATTCCCAATCCTCGTGACGTGAAATGTTCGTCGAGAACGCTTGCCTGCTGCCGACACGTCTCACAGCTGATCAATGTGGTAGAACCTAGACTATCCAACACGCCGACTAACAACGCATAACGCAACACAATAACAACAACACGCATGATAACCTTCCGTGATGTCTCGTATCACGTACTTAATGGTAAATCAATATACCCGCTCTCACTTAATCCAAATTCCAATCTCCTCCCGCACCTATCATAAGTCAACATCCTCAAATCCGTCAGACCCCTTGTATTCCTGCTTCTTCTTCTTCTTCTTCTTCTTCTTCTTCTTCTTCTTCTTCTTCTTCTTCTTCTTCTTCTTCTTCTTCTTCTTCTTCTTCTTCTTCTTCTTCT